CACATAATTCGCTCGTTTTCCTATACTTTCATCAGGTTAGTGATGTCAGCCATAAGTGATCATTCTAATACAGATCATCTTCTTATCTGTGGCCTCTTTAACAGTATCCGCTCATCGTCTATACAAGCATCTAAACTCACATTAAAGTTAAAGAAGCTGTAGTCGTGATGCAAATATTGTAGTAGATTATTTCATCCGATGGAATGTGTATAGCCCGAATCTCGAAGCTTGCGACGGCTTAGACATCTTTGTATCACTGTCGTGAACATCTGGCAAACCCCGCCGGATCTTGGATCGATATCTGTCTTCATCCAACTGCATGTCCTGGATATTTAGTCATACTTTTTTACTTCGACGAACTTCTAAATTACAATACAGATGTATAATTCATGCCGCTCGACTCGCTCTCACCTAGCTGTGACACTGTCGATACCTGCATCTCATTTAGGGATAATCCATACAGCCATACTTTTGTGATATTAATACGAAGAAGAATGAAATTGGTTAAGCTTTTACGGATCAAGCTTGGTCCGTATAGCATCATCGATTCAACCGTGATGTACCGAGTTTAGATGCTTGTATAGACGATGAGCGGATACTGTTAAAGAGGCCACAGATAAGAAGATGATCTGTATTAGAATGATCACTTATGGCTGACATCACTAACCTGATGAAAGTATAGGAAAACGAGCGAATTATGTGCATGATACCTTGCTTATGTTGCTGTGACCGGTGACAAAGACAAAGCCCTTATTATTTGCGTACTGTGGTATAGTCAATCAAGGAATTCAGAAGGCATGGATTGCATATATTTGATAAGTTTGAATTTGCATGGAACGAACCCTCTCAATGCGCACAATGTATGTAAGCTGGATTGTTGATGGACGATTACGGTACAGAGTACTTCGAATAATATAAACGTAGGTCAATATGCTTCAATCGAGAATCAAAGCCCAGAAGTTTACGCGATCTACTGCTGTATACGCATTTAAGAAACAGTATGGTACGCATGGAAATGGGTAACGACGACCATTTCGTATACCCTGCACAACATATTGAGCTCGCAGCTGGAGAAATGATTTCATAGCCCATCGATGATATTTGCAGCTTTATTCGATACAAAGACATGACTAGACGAGTGCAAGATCTGCACTTTGCAGGAGGCGGTTGGTTGACTGAATGAGCGTATATTGTTCGATGTATATGACACATTTGAGTTGGACCACATACCAAGTACGATCTGCGATACAAGTTAGACCGCAATTTGCGATACAAACGCTACCACGACCAATTGGTGTTCGTGTGTGTACAACTATCCCAAAAGTGACCAATATTACGATATGACCGACACGTGGATGCTATAAAGTAAAACACAGATAGTGATAGTCGTAGTAAGGGCTCTCGCCTGTTTGGCATTATCTGGGTTTTGACGATTTACCAACGAACACAAGTGCTTGTTCAGCGTCTCGAATTCTCTCCAGACACTTCAACTGCGATCGTGCGCAGCAAAAATTGAAAGACAAGATCTCACCATGGCTCAAGAGGTCAGAAGAATACTCAAGTAGGACCAAAAATCTACGTTCTTCCAAGAGAAAATGTATCGATGTATCGCAGCAGCTCCAAAAGAGCGCTATCAGAACACTATCAATTGTGTACATCTGTCCACGCGATTTTTTTACCGACCCGAACGATATAAAATTACCATCAAACCAAGTCCACCGCGGAAAGCGCGCTTCGACCTTCCTATGAGTACACGAGTTGAGAAAAGAAGCTTTACATCACACGAAATTGAGGCACCCTCAATGATAGCTGTTTATCATTGTGTCGATGGAGAGTTGGAGTCAGAATACTGTTGACAGTTTTTTCTACATGACTCGCATCTTCATTTAGACTTATGATCCCAGTTTGTTCTTGCCAGCATTGTATTCTCGGAAGGGCTCCTCGTAGAAATGGTGCATATCATAAGGATAGTAGGACTACGTTGATGATGACGACGAATGACAGTTTCATAAAGCGACATGAGAGCCAAGTGTACTCTCAACAACAATCATGGTGTCACTTAGCGTGTTGCTGATAGAAACCTTTTCACCACGTCATTGCAGTAGCATACTTGCTTGGCCATCATCATTCCTTTTCAAGAACAGTCGATCTTTGTTCACTGACACATATTGGCTTAGTCAAAGTCCCGCATGTCATATAGGTCTATGGACGATTTGCTTCCATACTTACGGACAATTATCAGATGTGATCCTCGTATCTTCCAGGTATATTGGCATGTATATCTATTTGCCGTATGGATTTTCAACACACGCCATCATAGACTTAACAGCCCCGAAATGAGGCACAAAAATGCGGCGAATTGCTCTTGTTCCATGCATTATCCGACAGTCTAAACGTACGGAGGTCTTGTCCAGCTTGCATACGATTAGCGCGGCATTGGTGATCCCGCACGGTTCCTCCCAGGCCAAGAGTTCTTGTATATCGTATTTCACGAACACTTTGTAAACACAGAGCTGTTACGTAACGTACACCTTACATCTACATTCAAATTTACGAGTACAATGAAATGAAAGAAGTAGACAAATAATTAACTCAAACAGAAATCTACACAACACCTATCTCAAAACATATGCCAGGCAGTCAAATTTTGTAACGAAATGCCCAGCCAAGCTAGTTTTCTTATGGTAAGGAACCGTCTGGATCCTATCGGTTGGGAGGTATCAGGCTCTTTTATCAGTAGCTTCACGAGACTTTGTCCACGTGTTCCTCCAATTTTGTATTTTTTGTAATCATTTGCTGTATTTCTGTGCCTTTATTTTGGAGATGTTGCGTTGATCATGGCGTACGTGTGAGTTGCACGAGCCCGTATACATAATCGCCATCCACTCGGACATATCGACACTCTTATTGGTATGCAATGTAATGAAGTGGTGATTGCGACATCCAGGGGACTTTTTCAGACGTGTGAAGGAAGTACTTCACATCGTTTTACAGAATCTCGATATTTCCCCAGGGATAATTATGATGTATCCTCTCAATGAAAATGGGACCCCATTATGCATCGAAGTCCAAATGGGTTTATATGTGTGTCGACCAAAGGACGGATGTGCATCAGCCTTTCATGAGAGGATACATTTTTATCACAACCAGATATTCGACACATATTCGACAGACTGTACTGAAGTTAACACAAGCATACCCAGATTACATGATCGTGATACGAACAATAGTAGATCTCTTTCGTATCCGACAAACTCAGCGTACGTCGTCTATCTTCCTATGTACTTACGTATCGATATGATCTTGAGGCACGTGTCTACACCGTTGTCAGTGTGAGTTCGCTTATACTGTGGTCAGTATGAACGTGGGGTGCCCCAGTGAGAATAGGGTCAAGGGCTTGCTGTCTTTGTCTTTCTGTCGTTCTGACTCCGCGTGGAGTCGTACCTCTGACACCCATACAGTACATTATGAGTATGGGTGTTAAAGGTACGACATCACGCAGAGTAAGAACGACAAAAGGACAAAGACAGCAACACCCATACAGTACAGTAAAAGACCTTGACACTGCGTTATTTTCCCCATCTCGTCTCGATGATGCCGACAAGGCGACTTTCACTCATCAGTGCTAGATAAAAACCAGTGCGACCAGCATGAACGAGATCGAAGCAACGTTGCCCTGCAATCGAAAAACAAGCAACATTGTCATAAAAAGTCGCAAAACTGTCATGCAAATGAGTGACAGAGGTAATGAAGACGATATGCGTGGATGGGCACAAAGGATCTCAGACATACCTTCGTTCGTCTCGCAACGATCGCTTTGATCATTGTTGCAATGTTGTGTGCATTTGCACAAAGCACCTTCGTCCAAAACGCTTTGCAGTACTAACAAAAAGGTGATTCCTAAGGGTCGTTGAACCTGCCTCTTGCTTCGTTGTCGTTAAATGTAACATCGACATACGTCACGTTGCGTGGCAAGCTATAAACTTGACGTAAACGTGTTTCAAAGATTCTTTTGTGTCTCTACTGCTTCGTTTCGTGTCCTACGCACTGTGCAAAGCGCACTTGTGACGCCGTTGCTTACAAAGAGAATAAAGCGATCAAACAATCTCAACGAGTCGCGCGGAAGCCACTATGATTTATACGTCATGTGTGGGAACATGAAAAACGAACGATTATGCCGATCAAATGCACCGCAAGATGGACAAGGAACTTGGAAGTGACGCATCCAGAAACTAAACATGCACCAATGATGTATAACATACGCTCATTCGACAGAAACTGGGCACTCCCATCGGTTTGGTAATGTCACATCGGTTGTTTGCATCCATGGATCACGTTCAGCGTGTATTCCTAGCATCTACTTCGCTCACATCAGCAATGCCTGCTCTATCACAGTCAGTGAGTTGTGCAAGCAGCACGCAAACACGATCGAAAGGCGTCAGCAGAGCGTCCAGTCAATACATTCGGATCGCCACTATCATTGCTGCCATCGATGGAATGGCTCAATGCGTGGAGATCAACCATTGCGGGATCTATATCGTCTGGAGAAACGAATGGATCAGCATCAGTTGGCCATGCTGCGCACAAGAAGGACTCTGACATTGACTCATGTTACCAACAAACTTCTCAGTGTGAGATAGCGACACGTCAATGTGCGCAGACATGACCGCAGTGCCTCCTTGCAATACCTGCAAGGAGGAATGTATGCTCATAGCTGCGACAATGCCATACGTATCAAGCATACCTCAACTGCAATCCGTGTGCTTTGACGAATACCACAGCCATCCACCATGTCACGGTAGCTGCCCACAATCGATTACTCCAGCTCTCGAGCTGTGGAACATCGAGATGCAAGCGATCGTACCAGCGTCGCCACAGAAAACTCGCACAAAATGAAACACGGCACGAGCCTTGCGCTAGTGTCTGTATTCGTTGCAGGCGCAGCACAATGCCATCCAAAGCGTCAACCACCCACTCATACGCTATAAGCTTCGCCAAATCTACAGCAGGCGCTTCTCCGCCGCGCGCGCGTGTCCTTCAAGACCCTCCATGCGAGCCAATCGTGCAGAGTCCTGCACCAGTATCTGCGACTCTTGCGCGTCGTCAATGCGCATCCAAGTGCGGATGCGGAGGAACGTGTGCACCGAGAGTCCACCCGTGTACTTGGCAGTCCCTCCCGTCGGAAGCACGTGATTCGGGCCCGCACCATAGTCACCAAACACTTCAGCTGCACGTCCACCGATAAACAGACCACCGTAGTTCGTCACTTTGTCGGCAACTTCGCGTGCTTTGTCCGTCAAAATCTCCAAATGTTCTGGCGCCAATGTGTCCGATACGTTCACACACGTATCCAGATCAGGACACAGCACAGCAAATCCATTGTTTGTCACGCTCGCGCGAGCCGTCTCAGCCGTCGACAGCGTTTCTAATTGCACCGACAGCTCGTGATTCACAGCATCAATCAGCTCTTGACTCGTTGTCACAAGGATCGGCACTGCAGCTGTATCGTGCTCGGCTTGCGCTAATAAATCCGCTGCAACAACAGCTGCACTAGCCGTCTCGTCGGCGAGAACCAGACACTCTGACGGGCCAGCCAGCATGTCGATCGCACATTTGCCGTTCACGAGCGACTTGGCTGCAGTCACCCACTTGTTGCCTGGACCGACGATGATGTCGCACACGGGCACGTCGCCCACTCCGTAGGCCATGGCAGCAATTGATTGGGCCCCGCCAGCCGCGACAAACACGTCGGCACCAGCCAAGTACGCGGCCGCGAGCGTCACTTGCGCTGGACGCGGCGACGACACGACAACGGTCGTGACACCAGCCACTCGAGCCGTCACAGCCGTCATGATCACGGACGACGGCAGCGGGTACCGCCCGCCGGGCGCATAACACCCAGCCGTCTGCATGGGTGACACCTTCAGGCCCCAAAAAACACAAACACACAAAAAACACAAACACCCAAAAAACACAAAAACACACCACCACCCATTCACCCATTAGCAACTGGCACCCGATCGAGGTTTTTCGACCGCCTGGAAAAAACCCAACCACCCCCCCCCGTACCCACGCGCACGACGTACGTCTTGTCCAGCAACGCCGCCATCGATTGGCTGTTCAAAGTTGCGAATCGACGCGCGCTGGGCGCGTGCAAAGCGCGTCACGCGGTCCACTGTGCGCGCGAGCACCTGCTGCTGGTCCAGCGGCAGCGCCTCGAACGCCTGTTGCAGCGCGGTGCGGCGGATCAGCAGCGGCGCGTCTTCGGACGGCACGTCGCCGAGACGCACCGCGTGTCGCATGAGCGCCGCCACGCCATGGTCCCGCACGTCGTGCACGATGGCCTGTGCCGCGGCGAGCGCCGCGGCGTCGACGGCGGCGTAGGCAAAGCTGGCCACTTGGGCCGGCGCGATCTGTTTGAGCAGGGACGGCGAGGACATGAGAATGAAGGTCGATGGAGTGGCGGGCAGTGGGGGAGGCCGAGTGTGGTGTGGTGCGTGTCGACCACACGAATATTGCCGCCCGAGGGGTCCGTCAAGGGAGGACGAGGAGCCTGGAGGGCCGAGTGGCCTTATTTATGGTGGCGTTGGTGTGGCGCAATCACGCGGGTGATTGCGATCTCTGAACGACCCGAATTGTTGACGATCGGTTTTGATTCGCACGGTCGTGAAATATCACGACAGCGGGTTTTGTAAATTCACCGTTGCGGACAATATTCGCACCAAGCGCTGAGCCACTACGCCGTGTGTCCGCTCGTTTGTTTTTGTCTCGGTACATTCTGTCAGCATACACACACACACACAGGCAAATGTACGCTGGCGGCGGGGCGAACGAAGGCGAGCACCACGGCTCGAGCACCAGCGCGCCGTTTGCCAGCGCGGCGGCCGAAGCCAATGACCTCGACGCGCTCGTGTTTGAGTTCGGCACGGCCAAGTGCAAATTGGGCTACGCGGGGGAAGACTTTCCGCGCGTGTGCGAGTGTCCCGTGTTGACTGCCAACGTACGGGACGATTGGGCCGTGGGACAGCGGCCCATGTCGCGTCGCGCGGCCCAACTCGAGAGCGATCCCGAGAAAATGGCGCAATGGCTCTTTGACGCCAGCTGTTCGAAACTGCAGACGAGGCTTAGTGACCACCCGTTGCTATTGGTCGAGCGGCCATTTGCCGTCCCGGACGACGTCTTGGTCGAGACAGGGGGATCGTCGGACGCGACAATGGCTCTGCACGCTAAAGAATTGCAAGACGCCCATATGGGTCTGAAGAAGACGGAGGTGCCGCACGCGCTTTCGAATAGTGGCACGAGCAAGAAAAGGGACGTGCGGGCGCGCGAACAGCTGGTGGAAGTCGTGATGGAAGAGCTGGGCGTGCCGGCGCTCTTTTGTGCCAAAAGTGCCGTTCTCGTGTGCTATGCGAATGCCCGAACCAGTGGACTGGTCGTGGAAATGGGGGCGACGTATACGAGTGTGACGTCGGTGCATGAGGGGTACGCGTTTGCGTACCCCAAGAGCCAAGTCACGGTATTTGGTGGACGCGATTTAGATGCGTTTTTGAAACAAAAGCTAGCGCCACAGATGGCTACAAGTCTCGAGCAACGCGTCGCGACAACGTCAATGGACAATGAGATGGCCAAGCGGAAGAAACACACGTGGTCGTACGTCGTCGAAGCAAAGGAGAGTGGATTGTGTCGAGTGGCCGATGGACCGTTTGATGAAGTGCAGAACGCCCAGCTGCCGTTGATCAACTATGAATTGCCGGACAAGACTGTTGTGGCAATGGGCACCGAGCGATTTAGTGTCGCTGAGCACTACTTTCTGCGAGACGGAGCACATCCTGCACCAAACAGTGGGACGGACGCGAGCAGCACTGTATCTGCTGGACTGGGTATGCGACTACCAGAGCTGATTTGTGAGACAGGAGGACTTACTACCGCCACGGAGCTACGAAAAGAATTGTTCCAAAACATTGTGCTGAGTGGAGGCAGTTCGTGCTTTGAGAATATGCCGAATCGAATCGAACGTGAAGTGGTGACCTCATTGAGTGGCATGTCGTTGCCACTGGTTGCATCGAGCCACAACACTGTATCGGCTGGATTTACCAACAGCTTGCGCGTGAAGGTGGTTGCTGCCCATGCACCGGAGCGTCGCGTCGGCGCTTTCCTTGGCGGGTCAATTCTGGCATCGCTTGGGTCGTTTCACGAAATGTGGATGTCCAAGGCTGAATATGCAGAACACGGTGCCGCGCTTATTCACAAAAAGTGTCCGTGAAGTAGCTGATTCTATCATGAGCTACAGTGGTGTCCACGCCCGGATACGATGATGAAAAGTGCTGGGCGGCTACACTGCTGAGAAACATCGTGTACGAAACATTGTGGTAGCTGAAGACACAGCGCAGCGCAATCTACACGTCGGTCAGAAAGCTATGCATGGAACAAGTACACGATGGAGTAGCGCGATACGCTTCGCAGTGTCGATACATGTTCGGCTATTGGTGGGGTCAAAGAAGTACAGCTTCGTTTTTGCTATTTTGTCACTTTGTCAGTCAGGCGCCCATCGAAAAGCGAGATACACCTGACTTACTCCGCGGGCGATGTAGACCCGGTCTGTACTGGCCGACTCGTAGCAGATTCGTTATCGCAATACATGCCAAAAGAACTCATGCAGCTTCGCTGTAGACTATCACACATCAAGAGTTGCCCAGCTACGCAGATACCTTGCACGCAAATCTTTGTCTTGTGTATGGCATGTAAAACACATGTGTGTTTGTGGTAGGTACACGGCTACGCGGAATACCCGCCGTTCGATCACAAAACAGCAGTGCAAATTTGCTTCGTGAACGAAAATGCATCTTGTGTGGCGCTCATGGTGAGTAAACCAAGTGTAACCGACGGAATCCCATACTCATTATCGTGTGATGGTGATGGCCTGTGACTCAGTCGACAAGTCCTTTGGAAAGCGTACGTCAATTATTACCTAAGAGCTTCGAGTCTGGCTCACGGTAGCAACACATATCCGCATTGGACAACCAAATGTAAAGGCAAAGTGGCACGCTCAACGTCGTCTTAGTGTGAATACCTCAGGCAAAGAGAAGCCATTCTCGACCTGAGCGCATCATATAACCCTCTCGAGTTCACTGTTGACAGAAGAATGGATCGAAGGCATAGCGACAGCGTGGGGATCGAGAGGTATATGGAACTTGAGCTTGTTTTTTTCTGTTTGAACGATTACCTGCATGCCATTCAGTTCGTTGCAAAGTACTGACCCCGCTCAACGATGGCGACAAGCGTGTACGTACGCCAGCAATGAATGCACAAAGTGCACTGATCAACTACGAACATAGTGTGTCGCAGCTGGTTGGTGTCAAGTGAAGTGAACGCAAACTCAGCAACTCGGGGTCTATAGGCTCTCTGATGTACACCACTGTTCGCTATTGACGACGCGGAAGCTCGAGAGGCTTTGAAAACGCGCCATCGTCTGAATGAGGCTAACTTGATGGATGGAAGACAAAAGAAGTGGAGAAGAGTCAAAGAAGATGAGAGATGTGGATGTATCGACAGGTCTGACAGGATGTCATGGAATACGGACCCGCAAAGAGCATTGCAGGTGTCAGAAGATCGGATCGAGATTCATAACGGTATGAGGATGGGAGGTCTCATAGCAGCATTGTCGATGTCAAGCTATCTGAGCTTATCCCAGATTGACATTGGCAGTACTACTTTCGTCAACTACATTAAGTGAGGGATGGCGATTGAAGCAGAGCGTTTTGGTCGAGTATAATTCATCCGGATCGAGTCTCGCCCCGCTTTTTGTACTGATGTTACTTCTTGTATTCGACGCTGATGCAACTTCGCAACGTGTTTGAGTACATGTAACTAGAAGGAAATGTGCTCATTCCCCAGGTATTCATCATGGCACGGTCAAAAACGAGTACGTGTTTGGCATGGACGCCACGGAAACTCTAGTGATATACACATGAACGTATCTGTGCCTTCTACTTGTGTTGTCATATGTACCACTGTAAGTAATCATTGCTTCATTGACATGTATGTCACGCAAACAACAGTGCGTCTATGCCGACCGATCATAGAAAAGCAGGCAAATATCCACGAAAATGGTCTGAAGTAAGTACGCGAGAACCGACAGCCAGCAGCGACGTTGGGCAGACTCAATTTCAGTCAAGTTTGGGCTGAGCAAACGCATTCGCGACTTTTTACAGTCAAAGCTGCGCGTGTCACGTCCTAATTTGTCACTTCCCTATCTCCGATCCTCCTTTTATAAATGTGCCCACCTGATCGTGTGTTCTCGCAACTTTGCTGCGTCAAGGGCAACTTCGTAGACGATTCGCTGCTTTACGTAGTACTGGCCCAGTCCAGCGTTGTCGTCGGGTGTACCTGAGGCAAGTTGGCTGTTCTTAGCCGACATCAGCAGTGACCCACCATCTCCCCCAATTTCTTTCTATTTGACTGACGGTTCGTCACACGATAGAAACCGCTTCATTCCTGAGTATCGAGTGTTCTTCTTTACCTAAAAACAGACTAATCCGGCGACCCGTCATGATGGTCTTGATGTTTATAGCCCTCGATCCTTCCCCCCTTTAACAGCATCACCTCTTTCTTTTCATACGTATCCCAACATTCTCGCTCCTCTCTCTCTCTCTCTCTCTCTCTCTCTCTCTCTCTCTCTCTCTCTCTCTCTCTCTCTCTCTCTCTCTCTCTCTCTCTCTCTCTCTCTCTCTCTCTCTCTCTCTCTCTCTCTCTCTCTCTCTCTCTCTCTCTCTCTCTTGCCCTATCCGCACTCGTTTTGTCAATTCCTTTCACGAATCGCCACCCCATTCGTCAAAACTCGCGCAGAAGCGAAATGGCGACCAAGCAGAAAAGCACGTGCCAACTGCGTCTGGAAGCCCGTTCGCGCGCCTCGTGCGCTCCCCCAGACGCCTCCTCGGACGTCCAGCGCCGAGCCGCCGAGCTGCGGTCGCGTATCGCCCGCGCCAATGAGATGCGCGCGCTCCACACGCGACAACTGGCGGCGCGCGCGCGTGCGCGCGTGCAACACGCGCGAGAGGTCGCCAGCGGGATGCGCGCCAAGCGACACGAAGAGACGCGGCGGTTTCATGACTCGTCTGTGTTGAAGTTAGACGAGGCCGCCCGTCGACGTGACGACCAGCGGGCGCAACTTCAACGTCAATGCCAACAGCGCGCGCACTCGATCTCGGCGAAACTCGAACACGTGCGCGCGGAACAGAGCGACAGGGCGCACCGCGCGCGCTGTACACTCGCCGTGCAACTGGCCAGAGCCGCGTGCCGTCGCCACGAACAGACGCAACGCCGTGTGTACCGTCTGCACCAGCGCTGGCAGAGCGTGGCGAGCGTGAAAGACCGCGTGGCGCGCGTGAAGCTCATCCAGCAGTGGGTGCGTCGCCACATGGCGAGTCGCGTCGCAGTTCGAGCGCTGCAGCAAGTGCAACCCGACGTGGACAAAGTCGTGGCGTGCTGGCAGTCGATGGAACGCGCATCGTTGGACGCGTGCATGCGCAAGTTGCAGCAACGAGGGGTAGGGCAAGCCGCCCAGCGACTGGTGACCGGGTTGTTGGCTCGAGCGCAAGACAGCGACTGTCGAAAACAGATGGAAACGGGGCAAAAACAGGCCACAACAGGCAATGGACTGGTTTTGTCGGATCCGAAACGGCGCACGATCTTTCGCGTGTTGCTGATGGCGGGACTACTGACGAGTCACTCGCGCGAGGTCATGGGCCACCGCCCGTCCAAGCGCCTGTACTATGCCGCGCAGACGGTCGTCCTGCACGTGAAGCAGCTGGCGCTGTGTCTTGCAGCAGAAGGACCGCCGCCGCAGCACACGCGGAACGTGACGCAGTGTGTGTCGGGACTGACGGCGCGCTTGGCGTTCTACGCCGAGACATTTCTGCGCTGGAAACAACGAGACGCGGACGACTTAGCCGCCGAGTTAGTGACGTCGTACGGCGCGTTGCTGGCGGTGCGCGCTAAGTACGAAACAGCAGCGCGTAACGCGGGCACCGCAGCAGACGGAGCGCAGGAGCTCGTGCGACAGACAGGCGACCAGTTGACGCACGTGCAGACGGCACTGGCGAAGGTCGTGGGACGAGAGGACGCCACGCGGCGACTGGACGCGCTGCAGCAGTGCGTGGAACAGGTCGGAAACGGACGTGGGGCAGCGCTCGTGGAGGCAGACGGCTCGCTGCAGAGCACGGAGGCGTTGGGTGATGCAGTTATGACTGAGCGTGGAGACGGGACGTCGCTTTTGTTGCCGTCGATGAACGCAGAGGGTGCAGATGGAGGGAGTCAGACTCAGAGTCAGAATCAGAAGGACGTGGACCGAGACGGAACTGACGTGGGTGATGATGATGATGATGATGATGATGATGATGATGATGGAGCTACAGACAGAGACGGGAACGACGTAGGTGATACTGATGGAGCTGATGCTGGTCGTGTACGCTCGTTGGGGTTCCGTCCGGCGCTTCTCGCCGATCGAGGGCTCGTCCATGAGTTGATATTGAACCCACAGTTTCAGATCCTACGAGACGGAGAGGTGGAGTCGTCTGCGGCAGCAGTGGCTGTCCGTGTGCGGGCAGCGATGACGAGAGCCTTTTGGGACCGCGTCATCGCAGCGGATGACGTTGAGGTGTTACTTGCGCGTACAGAAGAGCTGCGCGTGGCGTTCCGAGATGCGTTGGAGAGCGGGAGCAGCGCTGGCTTACGGGCCGGACTGGCAGCACTGGCAGACGAGGTGGACGATGCTCTTCATGTGGCTCACCTTCGAGCCCTGATGCAGGACCCTGTGGCACATGCGTGTGCGATTCACGCGCGGTGCAATGCTGTCCTCGATGCGATCAAGCGAGCAGAAGCACCGGCGCGAGCTGCGAGTACGCGTGAGTTTCGGTCTGACTGGACTCAGCGGGTTGCAGCTGGTGCGATGACGCCTGCCGAGCTGTTGGTCGCGTTTCTCACGTTTGCAATGGACAAGGTGGACGAGCTGCGCAGCGATATGCTCAACGCTCACCTCGGACTCCTGGGTGCATTTCTGCAACGACATGGCGTGGAGTACGAACAGAAGCAGCTTCAGACGCGACTGTCAGGAGCTGGAAGTTTGGATGCACAGTTTCCGTTGACGGTCAAATGGCTGACCATGGAGCTCAAGACGTATCTGGCCCGGCCAGACGTTGACGAAGCAGAGCGTGCTTGTTTGGCTCGTTACAACGGTGAAGCATTCCAGCGTTTCCTGCGCGCAAGTACCTGGGCGTTGGTGGACAAGTACGTCGAGGACGCCCCACTCAATGTCTGGCCCGAGACGTTCGAACTGGATGTGGAGCGCATTCGTGCATGTCGCAACGCGCGTGACTGTGTCGCAGTCATTTCGAGTCTTCTTACGGTGGTGCAGGAGTACGTCGCTCGTCGCCATCTGTCGACACCCGTCGGGTTTTTCGACCGCGTGCGGCAACAACTGGGCACGTTGCTGCGGTCACATGGAGTTGCAGGCGCGCAGCTCGCTGCTCAAGCGACGCAGTGTGTCCGTCAGCTGGAGCCTCTGAGCAGTGAGGAAACCACACGCGAGTTGCAGGCACTCGAGCAGCGGCTGTCCGGTTGTTTTGCTGCCGACAATGCCGTGTTCCAGCTGTTTGTCTCGCGCGCCTCGCGTGCTTTCGAGTTGGCGTTGCAAGCGGGTGCCGCAGCGGCCACTTTGCACCCGTCACTGGCTCCTCTTGCCACTGATATCAGCGAAGCCGCGTCAGCGTTGCGCCGTCTCGCTCAGCATAACGAACGCGTGTACGCGTCGCTGTACAACCTCATTATCAAGCGCCTCATGTCGCCATCGCCGTCGCCAAGTGCAGCAGCAGCAGCCACGTAAGTTTGTTGGCGGAGGCACAAAAGTCGCACTGGTTTGTATCGTATCTTTGAGTTTCAAATTGTTTACCGTGTACTTGAGAGCATGTGCCGTGCCTTATCCATGCTGCTGTCTCTTTCTTGCTACTTCCATCGAGGTCGCCGCGCTGACGACCCCACCAGCCACGTACAAGTACGTTACGTAAACAGACGTGGCTCCTGACTCGCACCCGCAGCAGCGCCCACATTGGTATCAGCGCTAATGTTGTACAACAGCTGTGCCAACCAGCGACTTGTGGTCGCATCTTCTTTCAGCGCCTCGTCAAACGTGTGATTACGTAGCGCTTCTGGCAGGCATTGACGAAGGGCTTCTTTTGCACTTCAACAAGAGGGACACCACAGACCGGCACCAGACATGGGCACACACATGATATCAGCTCGACAAGGCCGTCCACTTCCAGCAGTGCCATCAACAGCGCGTCGTGTGCACGTACCGTGGATTGTCCGACAGTCGCAGGTAGCAGCGGATAATGTGCTTGAGCAGTCGTGGAGCAGGCGCTTCGACCAGCGTCGCCACCATTTTGCTCAGCACTGTGCCCACTGCGTAGAACCGCTCGGGCGTGTGGCAAATGTACGTGAGCCCCATGTCGTCCAGCAAAATCTTTTGCACGATGAACGTCGCCACGGTCTTGGACAGTTCGCTCCCAGCTTCCATGATGCGGAGACAGAGCGGGATGATCTCTGTCTGCAGCAAAAAGTTAATGACGTCCGAGTCATCAATCTATCATTACAGTGCACAAAACACAAAGCACACCAACGAACGTTAGTGCAAGTACGGCATGAAAGGCGTTCAGAGTCAACACTGTGGATATATATATAGTCAGTCAGTCCGTACCTTTACGAGCGCGCCAATCACGCCGAGACTTGTCAGGCGCAAGTACTCGAACGGTCGATTCTTGCTCACGGTGTTAAGAAATGGGTACAAATACAACGGAATGTGCGCTACCCACACCAAAAAACAACAACGAACGCACAATAAACAATCGACCAAAACCCCCTCTCAGCCGTCAGCATGACATGCACTTCCACACTACAAAAAAGCACACCACGCAAGCTATGAAAAGCACTTTTTTGACACACGATACACGCAGCGCCGCACAGGCTCCAGCTGTCGTCGTTCTGCTTTGTTTGTTCCGTCTTTCACGCACCGTTTAAAAAGTGCGTGCGCGTCTCGGCATGTGACGCCACGCACTGCAACAGCGCCAGTGCATTGCACACGCGGTTCGACGCGTGCGCCGTGAGCTGCGGCGGCGACAAAAGTGGGTAAATCGCCACAATCTCTTGCAGAAGAGCAGCAACGGTCCCGACCGAGTGCCACAGGATCGGCGCGAGCTCTGCAAACTCCTCGCGCTTCTTACTGAGCTCCAGGAGCGCACTCTCGCGCTGCTCGGGCGACGACAGCTCGAGCACGAGCGCGTGCAGCTGCTCGGGGGGGTCCATGACGCAGCCGAGAGACAGAGGGCGCACAGCTCTGGGGCGAGAAGCCGAGAGGGCTTTTTTTGCGATGGCTACATTTGGGTGGCTCTATTATTTGGGTGGCTCCATTTGGGTAGCTCCATTTGGGTGGCTCCATTATTTGGGTGGTTTTATTATTTGGTGGCGCTGAAGTAACGCGGGTGGGGGAGTAGTGGGGGTTGAGTGGGGTGGGTACTTATTGGAGATGGAGGAGAGTGCAGAGGTTTATTATGTGCGCGGACGGTATTTAGGGTTGAAGGGCAAGAGTGCGGTAGCAAAAAGAGGCGGTGTTGGGGTCGAGCGGCGCTTTTGGTGAGCGGTTCTGTTGAGGTAGTACACGCTATTCTTGGCAGTTGGCGGGAGGGAGTCGGTGCTGGATGTGACGCGAATGTCGCGCGCTGACCGCCGGCATGATGTTGCACGGGGTTCTTCCTGTCACATCCTTCTTCAGCTGGTCAAAAAGGGTATTTCGACTCGTGTTGTAAACGACGGGGCAAACGGCTCGAGACGATTGCAAAAGCTTCTGGTGTTCTATTTGCAGCACTAACTCTTATCCCTGTTGTCGTTTAAACGATGAAACGTCACGTAAAGACGCTTCGAGGTGGAGTAGTTCATGCATTTTGTGCACATATTGTCATGGCAGACAGATAGACAGACAGACAGGTCGCCGGTGCTATAGACAGACACGACACCAGTCCTCTTGATACAGTCGATACATAAGTGTACGACGAACCGCGTGTTAAACATTAGTGCAAAAGCGAAGACGCAGTATACGCACTATGATGTACAAACGACGATGACGAGCCAAAGGTATGAATACGAGTTCAGCGCGAGATACAGACATTGCGAGTCCGCTGGTAGCAAAGGGTAAACTGTGGCAAGAAATTGACGTCGACAGAAGAAGATATGCAAACGAGTGACAGTAGCTGCGTGTTGAACGATCAGCTGGTTAGGTCGTCATGACCAAATCTTTGCATCATGATGAGTAGTGCAAGTTTCTAGCGCTGTGACAGTGTCTGTGAGAAGCTACGAAGAGGCGTCCAGCATAAGCCATCGCTGTACATGCGGAGTAGAGGCACGATACTTGCAGTGGCCAAACTGTCGTCAAAGAAGAAGTCGCTACGATGGTCATCTAGCGAGTCCTTTGGCAGTATCTGTGCTGAACTGGAGAAGGCCATGTCGAAGTCCGAGGATTGAAGCGCTACTAAGTGAATTGGAAGGTGCCTCGAGAGAACATGCGACCTGGTTGTACGACTGATCGACCTGTTTCACGTCGATACTGCGAGCTTGTGCCTTTTGTACAACTACGTACTGCGGGCTGCTTACGCCTTTTCGGTAGGATCGACTGCTTCGAGCTGCAATACAATGCTACTAACAGAAATATGCGCTTCGCTGGCGCACCTTTTCATCGGTCAGATAGCACAGCTCGTACGAACGCCACTTGTATGCCGGTGGGGAACTTGACAACGCGAGTCTGAGTACGCGGTGCCGTGTAAGCTTCATCTTCGAGCAGCGTGTGGTACACAATGAGAGCATTGTTCAAACAGCGTTCCGATCGTGGCTAAGAGAGGGAGGCGATCGATGCGATACAAAGCCGTCAGTACACGGATGCGGTAAGCAAACGAATAGTACCGGAAGAAGAGCGTTGCTGTGCGACGAAGGCAGCTATGTCGATCGATGAACTCTAGTCACAAAGTCCAAGCACACTTAGGTAGAAAGCGAGCCGTATATGATGGAGCATGGAAGACGTGGAGATATTGTCTGTGAGCATGAAGCGCGAACTAACCCCCACGTGGCGCGAGAGATTGAATGACCAAAGCTCTCGTCAACCAACTCATTGCTCCACCCATAAAAGCACATGTGCAATGGGATCAAGTGGTAAGTTGACTGATTGGGAAGCCGTAACCCAAGAGCTGCATATCTGAGCAGGCTTCAAGAAGTGCGGGTGCATGTGGGACATGCGCACGACGTCAAGACGGTATGTACACATCTGACGTCATGGGCTACGACACCCTGCGGCGCAATGTTAGCGATGCCTGTCCAGATTTACACGAATGGGTTGCTCAGATCCATGCCGGGAGATACCTCACCGACTTTCATCGACAACCCAGGATCGCTGTCTCCCATTGTTTCATCAACCGTTGCTTGTCTTCGACTAGCCTGGCATGTGCTAGTTCACCTACAGCGAGGTGCACTCAGCATCCGATAGCTATCGAACTGCACCACGCAAGCTTTCTACACGTTTCGTCGTCATTGTCACACTCATCGTACGTCCAAATGTGTTGACTAATAATGGCTTTTGTATAGCTCTCATGGAGCAACTTGTGCGTATAGAGCTTTGCTTTCGCGGTACGCGGGCACGGCAATGCCATTTTGCGTTGATCTCGTCATTTACGTGCTACAGATTGCGCCGTTTGCAAGCATCGTTACCGCAGACTGTACCCTATGTGCACAGGTAGAACGTCGAGGTCGCCGAGTCCGAATGCCATGATGGCTCAGCAGGTCATCACTTCGAGTACTGAGATCTTCGGCCAACACGATAGCAGAAGCGGTCGCTCTACCGACACATTGGCACACACCGGGCTCCAAAACAGTCCAAGATCCAACATCCTCTTTGGCTACTCACCAGGGCCCCCTACCACGTCAACAAAGATCGTTCGAGGCTGTCAGCGTCGGCTCAAAAGTGCATGCAAATGTTGCGCTGTTGGTTTCGGTGATGACAACGCAGCAGGGTAGTGGATGCCCGGCTGATAGTTGCAATGCAGCCTTTCAGCTTCCTCTCATCGACGTACGCCAGTGGCACTTCCCTTCCTCAAACCTTTTCGGTGCGTATCTATCTGCTTCTGAAAGTCGGAAAGAGATTGACGACTTACCGACTGCAATGGCGCGAGATGTCTTGGTGCGTTATCACGGCTAGAAGCCGCTCCCACTACGAAGCGTAAAGATGTCAGTCATACAGCAGCATACTCATCTAAGCATCAAGCGAGTTGCAGAGCTCTGACAGCTTTGTGATAACGACCAGGACTGCCGTCAGAGCCGCAACGACGTCTTCGTCGTTTTGGCAGCTCTCGCCACGTAAACATACTCACGAGGTATGCACTGCCGTAGCTCTACATCGTGTGTCACATTGGGCTGGCGGTAACCAGCAACGCTCTTCCACGTAAGTCTCTTTCTTGGATCACTAAGTTTGATTAACGTATCACGTGCCTTTCAAGAGCTTTTCAAAGTAGAAGCACGTGCGGTGCGTAACGTAGCCTTGGTCTTTGCCGCCCTTCTTGTTGAGATTAAAACTGCAGATGCTCTTTCCGATCGACATTGACAACGACATCCGATAGTACCATGAAGCCATCTTGCTCCAGACATAGTCGAGCTGGAAGTCGTGTCCGAGTGGCTGATTGCTGCACGGCGACGGCAGAACAGCGTGAAGTTACGTCGAGTTGACCTTGGGAACGGGATCCACGCAGCTTGGTCGAATCCATAGAGGTTCGTCCGCTCGTCGACTTCGGAGACAGCATGCCCAATCGACAGCCGGGAGCTTGTCGCGTCCACGTGCAATAGCCAATCCACCGTACGAAGGCTGTTTGCATTGCCCTGAAGATTGGCAGTGCTTCGTTGTAGTCGTCCGCAGTTCCACGTGCTCGAAGGATGGCTGCAATCTGCTAAGAGTTCTCATCCACTATGCATGACAGAAGGAGATATCTCCTTTTTTGCAGTCGATAGCCTGCCTGCCTGCCTGCCCAGAGACCGGAGGCCTGATGCAGAAGATATCCGCTGTTGCATTCCGACCGTAAGCAGAGTATAAAAGCAGCCTGGAAGACATCAGGAAGCCACTGGGGAAGCTCAAGAATGCCGACCAGTTGACTACTGTCAGCTTACACGGTCTGCACCTCCAGTGATCACTGCTATCGTAGCACCTTTCCTAGCCATTCTTACTCTACATGCGAGCTGAGCATCATGCAATGAGCACTGTCCACGACGCCAAAGGATATTACTGAAAGCAGCCGATGAAGTCTCGACTGGTATGCCACCTGATCGATCTTCGGCACTGGAAGAAGTTACTGAACTCTTCTCGAGCCTACGTGTCGGCTACCATACAACCAGACAAATGCTTTGTAGAAACCGCAGTGGACCCACGAGTTGTCTCGCGAAGATCTGAATCCGAATGCACGCACGACGGCGATCATAGTGAGCGACAGCCGACCGCGGCGTCCATTCCGTCGCGAATGAGTGTGTCGTCAGTCCGCTGTCGTTCTGCTTGGGACGAGCCGCTACTGAAGCATCTGAAGACGGTCTGCGACATGGCACGAGGCGCGTGCGAACTACACTCTGCACGTGCAACGAAAGCCGTCTGAACTGGGCCTTTGCTTGTTCCTGCAGGACATGTGCCCGCAATTGTACGTCAGCGGTGCCACGATGGAGCTCCATGAGACACGTTTAGTGGCACGACGTGTCTCAGCATGGCATGTTGGAGGAGTTTCATGATCATCTATTGACATATTTAATGTGGACAAGAGGTCTGAAAAATCCTGAGCCAGGATATGAGCGCCGGTCGCGGCAGCGGATCGTGGCTGACACCCGCGTAGGGCGGGTGTCCACGGGGCTCTTGAATCAGAAGTTCAAGACAGGCATGAAGTCGGGCCCCTCGTACGGCCGTAGCCGCGGCTCGATGCTCGCGTATTGCAATTGCCCGTAGCTGGCGAACACCGCGTGTCCAGTACATTTGGACACTTGCGGATGGAGTAGTCACGGCTCCTCTAAAGACCGCCGAGTTCCGCTCGGTCCACAAATGTTCTTGGCAGATGGAGCTTAATATGAACCAGATCCGTTCGAATTCTGTTGCTGCGGCGTCAGAGTCATCTTGAAAACGGCTTTGCAACCGCAAACTCAGCTGACGTGGAATGGGCGGGGCTTTGCGATTAGCGCAGTGCTGAAAGAAGGTGGAAAGAACTGCGTTCGTCGCACCCCCACCGGTCCAGTGTCCTATCAAGTGACACCAACACGCTTGCGCGATTGGGCACTCCCAGAAAATGTGCGCCGCTGTCTCTTTGCGTCCTCGGCAGTGCAGCACCGTACGACAACTGTTGTCCAGCGTGCGACCGGCATGGTATAGATTTAGCTGCTTTGTCGCGATACGATAGCATGTCCAGACTTGATACTCCGTTAGCCCGTTTGCGTGTTTCCAAACTTGGGAAGGCGTTTGATTTGATGCAGCTGACTGCCAACTATTCGATACCGCCTGCGCGTCATAGGCCTTCAACCAGGACTGGAGGCCAGGGTGCAGAAGGCGTTTATGAACGTGAAACGCTTGCTTCATAAGCGTTGTCCACACATCTACATTGGCCACCGTCTCTGGCACACTCCAAGGGAAACGGTGAAGCTCCGGGTGGGCATGAAACACCAAGGTACGATGGTGCGAATGCTCCCAGTAGTTAGACACTTGCTCAGGCGACCCCCGTAATTCTGGTAAATTCCCGTCAATCGACCAATGGATTCCATTGACATCTTGGCGGAGGCGAATCGTCGAGGTCGCGGACTCGACAGGATCCCGACATGACCCGACAATTAAATCAGCTCGTACCCGGGACCATTTATAAGCGCGCCGAAACGGCGGTGGATGACGTAAGACGAGCCCGGGCTCTACCGGTCCCGCACCGACAGCAAGGTGGGGTGACGAGAGCAGGATCGAAGTCGCCCAACGTTGTAATTTACAATGCATATGCCGAGACGAAGTACCGCCGAGAGACGGGAACGTAAATTGAAATTCATGTGACCCCAGTCGCCGAATGCACAGACTGCGCAGTGAACATGGAGGTATCCGGGCATATTTGGCCCGCTCTAGGGGCTTGCCGTCTGGCCCTTGAATCCAAGGATTGCCATCCCAGTGAAAGCGGCCCCAGAAAGCGGCTAATGTATCCATCCGGTGATCAGCAACAGCGGGATGGTCAGGAAACGTTTGATGGTATGAAATTGCCAATTCGTCACCATCCCACTGACTGCTCGCCCCGACAGACATTCGAGCGTGATGCGCGTCCAATCTGGCCCGAATCGACAGCACTTGTTCAGGGGAGGGTGCTAGGAGCCGTTCGAGATCCTGCGCCAGAGAGGAACGACCAGGTCCTCGCCTGATGTCAAACGTTGTTGAAGCAGACGGATGGAGCGCCGGGACGAGAGCCGATGTGGAACCTCCCACGCTATATGTCCAGCGCCGCCACGCTGTAAAATATTTGTCATGCGGCTGCGTTAGCCAACGCAACGCGTGCTTCGTCCGCTGAGTTTTGACGGCTACTTCGAACGAGGCCAGACCAACCCCGCCTGCCTTCTGGGGCGTAAAGAGGAGACCCGGGTTAATTTTGTGCCGACGTACGGCAGGCACAGAAGCGTGCGCCCACAGGAATTGGCGGTACAGCCGAGATATCTCCGTTCTCGCCCAGCTCGGCACATCGAAGACGGCCGCTGTGAACAGGATAGCCGGTAAAATGATCGCGTTAAGAATGAGGACACGATTTTGCACACTAGTCGCTACTTTCGCTGCAGTGAGAAGCCGCCGACGGATTTTCTGAAGCCGAAGCGCCCAGTTTCGATCGAATAATGCCCCTGTCCCCACTTCGTACCCCAGGTATCGCGTTGTCTCTCTGTGTTGTAAGACTGAGATGCCACCATACTGGTGCAGCCTGATAGCCGTGTTTAAAAAAATCAATTTGCTCTTGGCAGGCTGGGCATGAAGGCCCGAGAGTTGTCCAAATCTAGAGACTAGCTCCAACGCAGGCGCCAACTGATTGGCATGCTCAAGGAATATGGTGGAGTCGTCCACAAACGCGGAGAATGTATGCACCACCTCGCAGGCCCCGGGCACCGGAATACCCCGGATGGAGGGCGCCTGGTGAATAGCCAGCCCAAGTAATTCCACCACAAGTAGAAATAAAAGCGGTGCGAGAGGACACCCCTGACGTATTCCGGACCGGACAGGAACTGGTTCAGAAAGTTCCCCATTCACCAGAAACCGCTCAGCATGGCATGTTTGATCCCCACGAGATGGACGAGTCAAGTTAAAGTCGTGCGCTTGTCATTCTTTCACAGTGACTAATGCACGACCAGATCAGCTTCGCTTGCTGCGTGACTTTTACAGGAGACACTTCGATCGCGCACACAGTTCCGCCATCTCCTTCTGCGAAGCGCTCTGACTCATGAGAACGGCCATAGCTTTGTCTCGATCGAACTGGCTCCGTCTCTTTGACATGACCAACCGCCGTGACAGTGCGTCGAGGCGTGACCCTCCGCCCACAACTACAAGTAAAGGGGTCGTCTTATCAACGAAGCCGCCTGACCGGTCAATACAGTGGCTGTCCAGCGTCTCTTTCCACGTGGTACCGCATGGCCCACGTGGCGCCATCGCTCACTTGCGCCCGTCCCTCCAGTGGCTCTCAGCTCTCTCGTTTATTTCGGTTCCCATGTCGTTGCGCTGAGACGGTCGTCGCGTCCCCTGACACGTTTACCTGCTGCTTCTGTGTTGCAGTCAGTGCACCTGCACGGGCTCTTTGTCCGTCACCGCCAAAGCCAAACCCGTTGGTGCTCCCCGACCACATCCGCTTCGACAGAACCCATTCGCAACTTGATGGCCGCTCTGATCGTCGGGCCACGAAGATCGGCCGCTCACCATCGATGAGCCACTCACTTTCGCCCTCCCTCGTCGTCCTCACCTGCTACAAAAACATCCGTCGCTCGGCCCATTGATCGACGACAACGCACAGTCTCCGTCCACATTCATTGTCTCGTCGCTCTCGAACGCAGGGGAACCAAAGACGCAGCAGACCATTTGGATGGGATCCCATCGCGCTCAGCCATTGGCCTTTTTGCGCCACGTGGCCGCGCACGTTCCGCGCAATTTCCAGCGCGCGGCTCCTTCAACGTCGCCCATCTCCACGTTGTCACACTGCATCTGAGCTGTCGCATCTCTGTCCACGCGCTCCCCCACCCCTTCGACATGTCTCCCCCACGGCCCATCCCCCACCCCCCACACAATCGATACATAACCACATCCTCTCACATCGAACCATAAGACCCAAATCAATCAGCAAATTCACAAACAAATAGTCACATTCCCATATCAACAACAAACCTCTTCATACATTGACATACCTACGAAAAGAGCTCTACTCGACATCGACTGCCACCGCCTTCTTCGTCCATCTCTTCTTCTCTCTCTCTCTCTCTTCCTCTCTCTCTCTCTCTTCCTCTCTCTCTCTCTCTCTGTCTCTCTTGCGCCTTCGTGGCCAACAACTGCACAACGAGTCACTTTTGCTTTCTGGTCGTTTTCTTTTTATGTACTCATGTAGCGCTGCACATCCGTCTGTCTGTCCGATCGGTCGATCGGCTCTGCCCCTCCCGTCTGAGTCCTTCTTCCCCCACACTTTCTCCTCCGCGTCACTCGACGGTCACTCGCCCCCGCTCCAGTCGTCACTCGCCTACGTACGTACCCACTTGGGCCACTGCCTCGCGCCCTTTGCCACGTGCGGCTCCACAACAACAACACACACACACACACACACAAAACGGCAGGTGTGCTGATGCCGCAGTCGCCCGTAGATGGGGGCGCGACGCCCACGTCGTCCTACGCGCTCTTGCGCCAGAGCACGGTCGACTCGCTGCCGCTCATTGCGGACGACCCCACGCCGTGTGACAGTGTCTTGGGCAGCGGCGCGGTCGACGTCTACGTCCGCGACAGCGACGCCAGCGACGACGGCGCGACGACTCAGACTCAGACACTGATCCCGACTCAGGCCACCAGCGATGACGACGACGACGGCGACGTGGGGGGGTGCCGGTTGCGCCAAGGTCGTCGGTCGAGCCGCTGGACTCGGACGACCTTCCGACGACCGCCGCCGCCCCCCCTCCGCCGCCCTGTACCGGTATGTGTACCTCAACGCCCCGGCGCAGACGGCCCTGTTGGGCTATTGTTCGAATTTGGTCGTCACCAGTCGCTTTACCGTGTGGAACTTTCTGCCAAAGCTGCTGTTTTACGAGTTCAGCAAACTCGCAAACGCCTATTTCCTCGTGATTTCCATCCTGCAGACGATCCGCCCGATCTCCAACACGGGCGGCTTCCCCGCGTCGCTCCCGGCGCTGTCGATCATTGTGCTCATTGACATGTTGTTTGCCTGCATGGAGGACTACAAGCGCCACCAAGCGGACCGCGTGGCGAACAACCTGCCGTGTCGCCGCTTTGAACGCGCCTCGCGCGCGTTTGAAGCGGCCAAATGGCAGCAGCTGCAAGTGGGGGACATTGTCAAAGTCGCGAACCGCGAGCCCGTGCCGGCGGATTTGGTGATTTTGGGCGCCTGTGAACCCGATGTTGACCATCCAGTGGGCATTTGCTATGTCGAGACCAAGTCGCTGGACGGCGAGACGAACTTGAAGCTGCGGCAGGGACTCGAGGCCACGTACACTGTGTTGCTGAGTGATGCTGCTGTGGGCGAGCTGAAGGGCACTGTTGTGTGCGAGAAGCCCAACAACTCGATCCATCGCTTTAGTGGGTCGCTGACGCTCGAGACGGGCAAGAAGGAGGTGATTACGACCAATGCTATTGTCCTGCGGGGCTCGACGCTGCGCAATACCGAATACATTTACGGCCTCGTGGTGAACACGGGCTCGGACACGAAGATCATGATGGCGTCGTCGTCCGAGCCCATGAAGTGGAGCAACATGGAACGCCGGCTGAACAAGCAGATCTTGTACATTTGTGTCCTCATGGTCGCCCTCTGCCTTGCAGGGGCCACGCTGTCGACGATCTGGAACGCAAAGAACCTGGACGAGGACGCAAACGAAGGCGCGTGGTACTTGTACGACCGCAACTCGACGGCCGTGAAGTCCCCGGTCGGGACGTTCTTTATCATGGTGCTGTACTACTTTTTGCTGCTCAATTCGTTCATCCCCGTGTCGCTCTACGTGAGCATGACGTCGGTCAAGTTTATGCAGTCGTACTTTATGAACAACGACCTCGAGATGTACCACGAAGAGACGGACACCCCGTGCCAAGTACGCACCATGTCGTTGAACGAAGAGCTTGGTCAGATTGACTATATCTTTTCGGACAAGACGGGCACACTGACGTGCAACGTGATGGAGTTTCGCAAGTGCTCGATCAATGGCGTGGCCTATGGACTGGGTGAGACGGAGGTCGGCATTGCAGCTAAGAAGCGGCAGCAGGAAGAAGTGCCACCCATGTCGTCGTTTTACGCGGTGACTCCTGGTGGCGGCTGTGCGCCGCCCGCAAAGAAAGACCGCATTGATGCCAACACAATGGACGTGAACAACGTTCCGTCAGATCGCGTGGTGAAGGCGCCGTTTGTCAACTACCAAGACGATGCACTGTTTGATGCATTGGCTCAAAAGAAAAGTGAGCAGGCAAAGTCGATTGGATCGTTCTTTGAGCACTTGGCTGTGTGCCACACGGTGATGCCAGAAAAAGCTTCGGACAATAGTTTGCGCTTGAGTGCTTCATCACCAGACGAGCAAGCGCTGGTTGCTGCAGCCGCTTGCTTTGGCTACAAGTTTGTCGCACGTGCTCCTGGAAAAGCGATGGTGGAGTACTTTTGCTGTGTGGATCACCCCGAAGCTATGGTATGCAATCAGCCGGTCGCTGACCATTCCGTAGGGGCCTACAACATCTTGGAAGTTCTTGAGTTCAACAGCACACGCAAACGCATGTCGGTCATTCTCAAAGGACCGACGGGGGACCTAAAGCTTCTGTGCAAGGGAGCGGATACTGTCATGTACGAGCGCCTGAGGCCAACGGACGACCCGGCTGTTAAACAGACACGCGACTTGACGCTTCAGCACATGGAACAGTTTGCGTCAGAGGGGTTGCGAACACTGGTGATCGGATCGACTGACATTGACCCCGAGTTCTTTGACTCGTGGGTCATTCGGTATCGCACAGCAATCAACGACATGCGTCAGATTGATCTGCGTCGCAATGGCGAAGACAATGACATTGACCGACTCATGGAAGAGATTGAAGTGAATCTCGATATTTTGGGTGCTACAGCGATCGAGGATCGACTCCAGGCGGAGGTTCCCGACACGATTTTCAAGCTGCGGCAAGCATCGATCAAGATCTGGATGCTGACTGGCGACAAAGAGGAGACGGCGATCAACATTGGCTTTGCTTGCCGCTTGCTGGCTTCGGACATTGAACGGGTCGTTATCTCGGCCGACACGCACACTGACTTGGCCAGTATCATGGACGAGCTGAAAGAGTTTGTTCGAGGGGAGGAGGACAAGGAGGAGACATGTGCGTCATCGCCTGCTGGACCACTGGGTGCTTGTCAGTCGTTTTCCGAGCAACAGCGCAGCCCCGTTTCGCTCCGCAACCAGCACAAAAGGCTCACGCGCATCGAGAGTATGGCCGAGCGACCTCAGCAAGACTTGGCTCTGGTGATTGATGGCGAAACACTCGAGCTGGCGCTGGAAGGGTGCCCTGCGCTGTTTCTGAAGGTCGCGGAGAAGTGCGTGGCTGTGATTGCTTGCCGCGTCTCGCCTGCGCAGAAGGCCCAGCTCGTGCGGTTGGTTCGTGAAAACAATCCGGGAATGCGAACGCTGGCTATCGGTGACGGTGCCAATGACGTCTCGATGATTCAAGCAGCGCACGTCGGTGTTGGCATTTCGGGTCAGGAGGGCATGCAGGCAGCCAACTCGTCCGACTATGCCATTGCTCAGTTCCGGTTCCTGGCACGCCTGCTGCTTGTTCACGGACGCTGGAACTACGTGCGCATGGGCAAGTTGATCTTGTACATCTTCTACAAGAACGTGATACTGAACTTGACCCAGTTCTGGTACATGATTTACACGGGCTACTCGGGGCAAAAGTTTTTCCTCGAGTGGGGACTCCAGGGATACAATCTCCTGTTTACAGCGTTGCCCATCATCTTGGTGAGCACGTTCGAGCAAGACGTGCCGGCGTGCCTCGCTGTGAATTACCCGCTGCTCTATCGCATTGGCCAAGAAAACACGCGGTTCAATACCAAAGTCGTGTGGGGCTGGATCACGTCGTGTGTGTGGGAGTCGCTCATCATCTGCTTTGGCGTTGTCCACGGCATGCGGTACTTGGTGACGAGGGGCGACACGCCAACGATGTGGGTGTATGGAAGCACTGCGTTCACGATCGTGTTGATTGTAGTGACGCTCAAGTTGTGTCTGCACCAGCAGATGTGGTGGCCCATCCACATTGCCATTTACGTTATGTCGTTCATGCTCTGGATCGGCACGGCGGCGTTTATCTCGTACGGCGAGTCGGTGAGCTCGTCGTACTGGAATGGCGTGTTTGTCAACACGTTCCGCGTTGACGCGTTTTGGCTCGTGGTCCCGCTGCTCGTGGTTGCTGCCTTGTCGCGCGACTTTATGTGGAAGGGCTACATGCGAATGTTCAAGCCCTCGTACAAGCACTTGGCCCAGGAGGTGAACGCGTACGGTCTGACACACATCGCTGACCAGTTGCTCACGTTCCCGCCAGCAGAAAAGATCCCAGAGGACGCCATGGGTGGCGAGGCTGGCCGCGTTGCGGCTGGATCGCTATTGACTGCGAGCATGCGGGACGTGACTGTAACAAAGCCGGTTGCTCCTGCTGTGCCGCTGGCCCCGCGTCCACTCATCAGTCGGATCGGAAGCCGCCGCTCCGTGTCAAGAGGCAGTGCTTTCAGCTACGACGCAGAGAGTGTCATGGTCGAGTCGTACATGTCCACGGACAGGTTTGCTCGGGACACGAGCAAGACGAGTTTGGTCTTTGATCGCCACGCAAGTCGCGGCTCGTTGGCTTTCCAGCGCCTTCCACTGGACTTGGACGAAGACCACCAAACAGCAGAAGGTGCTTGTCTGCTGCCTGCGTGCTCGGATCATGCAGCCACGACCGACGCGTCTCCCTCCCATCGACAGTCGGCTGGCAACATTTTTCGTGGCGCACGCCATGGCCAAGGTCATGGACGATTCTCCTCCGCGTCTTCCATCTCACGTCCTCTGGATGCGAACACTGCTGCTGGTGCTGCTGGTCAAGGGACACACGGTCAGCTTCCAACGGACCGGTTGACAGGCGTGCGGGAAAACGCGACGATCCACGACTTTGGCACGAGTAGTTTCCACCGTCCGTCCACCACTCGACGCATGCGGGGCTTTGCTAACCGGGCCATGTCCAGCGACGATGCCAGCAGTATCAGTCGCGGCCACAGCACCACTTCGCTGTGCTCGCCTCGCAGTCGTCGACAAAAGGGACGCAGTGCCGTGTCACGCGAGTAAGGGAAATTGATTAGGTGCTTGAAGCCCATCGTTATAAAACCCCGTGTCATTAGTCTTGAACGCAGCTCGGTGGAAGCAGCACCACACTCGTCTTCTTCTAGAGCTACACACACACACGCACACGTACACTGTCCGTCATTGAGCACCAGCACCCGCGTGATGCGTGCACGCAACCCCATCCACTGCAACGGCCGCACCTCGTGCCTTCTGTACCTGCTGCCAAACGCAACGGCCTCGTCAACTGCGGCTGCTCCGACTGCTGCGACTCCGACTCGAGCTCCGACGTCGTCGTCCACGACTTGAGCTGCGACTGCGGCTGCGGCTGCTAAAGCTGCGGCCACGACTGCGGCTGCGACTCAGCGACCGACTGCGACTGCGTCCACGCAGTCGACTCCGACTCCGGCTAAAGCTTCGACTGCGGCTTCGACTGCGACTGCGACTCAAACTCCGCCGGCGTCGAAACGGACTGGGCGAGCGTCGACGTCGCCCACTGCCTCGTGCCGCCGCCACAGGACTGCTGCGTCGTCCGCTGCGGAACGGCGATGGCCCACGTCGACGCATGAACGCCGGCGAGCGCGAGCGTCCACTTCGACGACTCGCCATCGTCAGACTCCGACTGCGGCCTCGAAACGGCGACGCGACGCGTCGCTGGCGCGCGCCTCCTCCTCCTCCTCGTGCTGGTCGTGGCGACCGCTGGCGTCCAGTCAATGTCCGCAGCAGCGGCGACGGCGAGCGACCGCCGCGTCCACTGCGTCGCATGCGACTGACAGGCGACACGGACGCGCGCGTGACCGTCCGCGCCCCAGCAGTCCGCACGGCTCGTCGGCCGTCGGCCTCATCTGCTGCTGCTGGTGCCGGTGGTGCGTCCTGCGGCAGCAGCACGTGCAGCTTATTGCCGTCCAGCCAGCCGTCGTGCAGGTGCGTCTTGGCGGCTTCAGCGTCCTGCAGCGTCGCGAGCACTACGCGCGCAGCGGCCCGCGCGCGTGGCGAGAGCATGTCGACCTGCACGACGAGGCCGAACTTGCCAAAGATCTCGCGCAGGTGGTCGGCCGTGACGTTCCGCGTGAGGTTCGCGACTTGCAGCGTCACGTGGTCGGGTGGAGCCATTGGTCGCGTCGATGGCGAGGGCAGTGACGACTGCTGATTGGCGGATATTCGCGCTGCTAAGAGTCGGTGATTGGTCGGGAGAATACGTGCGTGCGTGTGTTTGTGTGGCGGGTGGGCATACACAAAACAAATGCGAAAACGCACAGCGGTAAGTAGACAGCTTTCGGTAAGTAGCACGGGATACATTGTCAAGTGAGTCGCTCGATCGGACGGACCGACCGAGACGGCGTGCGCGAACGAGGCGGTGGTGAGGGATAGAACGTACGCGATGCAGAGCGAGGCGAGCGGGACGCGGACTTGGTCGGACTGGTGGGGCTGGACGAGCGGCGACGACGACGATGCGTGGACCGCGAGCGCGAGCGCGAGAGACGCGGTGAAGCCATTGGCGCGCGGGAGCGTATGGCTGTCGAGGGTGGAGAGGTAGGTACACTTAGTGGGGGAGGGAGATAGAGGCTTGGCGAAAGGATTGGTGTGGCGTACGTGAACGAGACGTTCGTGGCACAACGATCGAATCGAGTTTAGCTGGTGTTATTTGTGTTTATATGGTAAAACCCAAGCCTGGATTGTTGATACTCAACGTGTAAAAAGAGGACGAAAATATGAGGTGGTATACCGGCTGCGAGGACACTACTGTACGTTCGCATGGTAGCGGTTATACCTGACGAAGGTCGATTTCGGGCGGGCGTCAAAGGGAGTGTGGCTGCCTCAGGGTCACTGTCGACTGTACCCATTTGCACGAAGACCGGCGATCTGCTCGACTGTTGCAACGAAACGTGCACATGTTGCAGTAGTCATTGCGTAATGAGACCGAGTCAACCACCAACAACCACAACAATACCATAAGACAACAACAATACCATACGAGCGAGAGGTGAATCGGTCACTATGCTTCTGAACATGTAGTCCGTCAACCGCTTTGTCGCCCCTCACTTCCATGCGCAACCAATGCCGACCTTATCGGTCCAAGTTACGCGCCCGCTTCAACATCACATCCGACGACGATGCCGTCCTCGTCGTCAATTCCGTATCGATCAACGACGCCGCTTGACGGCCATACAGCACGGCATGTTCTTTCGCCACGTCAATGGGACTCATCTTTCGCACGCGCAATCGACACAGTCCACAGAACGTGACGTTGCGCTGCTGCAGCTGAAGGTCTGCGCCGACAAACGTCAGTGGGCACGGACTGCGGCACGCGCGGCACAAGTAGCCATTGCACAGCTTGCACGTGTCTCGCTGGCTCTTGCTATAGTCTCCGACTCGGAGCGTTGCCATAGCCGACGACGTGCACATGATGCAGACACCGGGTCGCGCTCGAAGGCCCACGTCTTTCGCCAGTGCATAGCGCTGCTCGAGCAGCCACACGAGTTTCTTCATGTTGCTGCAGTGCGCGTACTTGAGCGTCGAGAGGTACCCCGTTGCAATCGTCGGCATGACGAGCTTCTGGATCCGATCGCCGCCGGGATCGGTCACGCCCGAGCCGTAGACTTCGACCGTGTCGGGGCCAATCTGTCGAAAGATGCAGCACGTGCTCATGTTGGCCCGAATGCGGCCGGGTAAGGCCTTTGCCTGGGGAAAGCTCACCGAGTGGAACACCATCACGCCAACGCGTTCCCCTGTAGAGAGAGACGCTGTGTTTGTGCTCTCGAGGAAGACGTAGTCGCGGTTTTTCACGAGCGGTGTCTTGGCAAACGGCAAGTCGAGCTCCATCCACTTGACGGTCATGGACTTGAACGGCTCGTGCACACTCGGCATCTCGAGCGACGCGAGCACTGCGCCGCCACTCATGTCGTCGACGTACGACGCTTTGATGCGCATGGACTCGAGCGTCGGGTTCAGCGCGCCAAACATGACGTCGTCGACCGTGCCCCACGTGACGCCCGTCATGAGCGACTTGGGGTACGTGGCCTTTTGCACGGGCTTCAACGACAACGACAACGACGACAACAACGACGACGACGAGGAAGTTGGTGATGACGAAGACGGACTTGGTGCTCTGCGCTCGCGGTAGACTCGCGTCTCGCCTTTGCTCTTGACGAGTTTCCACGCCGTGGGGTTGACGCTCACGCGGTTCTCGGCAATGAACGCCTCGTACGTCTCGACGTTCGCGTTGATGAAGTTGTCGCCAAAGTCCTTGAGACTCTTCTTGTCCGAAGGCGAGAGCAAGAACTCTTCGAACGGGTTCACGACAAAGCGGTCATTGCCCATAGTAGTAAGACGCGATCGACGCCAGTGCTCGTCTTGTGGTGGACCCCGTGGCCAGAGGGCACTACTCGTGCTACGTACGTATAACTAGTTACCAGTCAACAACGGGGCAAGAGGTGCGGGAGACGGACTGACGGCTTGAGCTCTACGAGCACAAAAGCTGATTGAGCTCGAGACGATTCTCGTTCACTGTGTTTGCAAGAAGAAGAACAGGCGACAATGTCGTCACGGGCGTCGGGTGCTCGTCTCGTGTTTGGTTTACTTGTTGCATCGAGCAGCCAGAAGCCGTCTGGCTGCTGTATCTCGGGCTATGGGCGAGATGGGCTTTGACTGCGTGGACGAACGAGGACGAGGACGAGGCGATACTTGAGGCGCCTTCGAGCAGTGATTACTAGACAGCAGCTGGAGGATCGAGGACACCTGGAACGAGCACGTGACTAGCGGATGGTCGACTGGACAATGGACTCTACAGACAGTCAGTCAGTCGGTGGCAAGTGCATGTGCAAAACGTGCGTATCGTTTGCGTCGACGTCGTGCACAGTAGCAGGTGCCCTGAGACTCAGACGAACGCAGTCAAACGAACGGGTATTGTTCACGAGCTCGAAGCTTTTTTCATCAGTCTGTAGTAGTCAATCGTAGAGTGACTGGATGAAGGCACATGTGGATAGAGGTAGTTGCGCTTCGCACGCTTCGATCCCAACTCGATTGATCCAGAGACGACAACAAGCGTCGCAGCAGTGGTCAAACGGGTGGTCTGATGATAGGACGAGGTGTGATGCAGACAATGGTACGTCCGTGCCTCCGTTACCGCACCTCTCTCTCTCTCTCATTCACTTGCGCGGTTGACAACGTGTCATGAGTACACACACACTCGGAAGCCGCTTCTAGACTACATATTGCCGTCATCGGTCGCACCGATCGCGATCAACTCGACATTCTCTCGTGCTCCGTCATTCTTGTCACGAGATACAACTAGGACCATCACGACGAGTCAGCATGCAAGCTGAAAGCTCATCCGACATGGTCAAGAAGCAGATGGACCGTAAAGGTCTGCGGTCTTGCTGAGCACACGAAAGCCACGCGCTGCCGCTCTGTGAAATGCAGTCGCTCGCATTGCCAGGCAATGCACCGACTTGGACATGCGACGTTCTATCGGTAGTTGACGGCGCGTCATGCAGCTCGAAGGGATTGCGAGTGATCCATAGGTGGTATGTGCTCAGGACGTCGGGTATCGTTTGATGCACTTTTCGTGCCCCCACTCAGCTTTGACACGACGATGCGGCCACCAAAGTCAGGAGCATCGACGAAGGCCATTGTTCCGACATTGCTCCTCGTTGGGCGCGTTGATCGTTCGGAGCAGGCACGAGTCTGTAGAGGTCGCCAACCGAAGCAAACAGCGTACTGCTCGATCGATGCGAGGTCGATGCAACACCCGATCGGGTACAACGATACCTCTGTTTGAGCTCTCTTTTGCCTGCATGTGAGCTCCTGGAATTACATGGTGACATGTCGATCGACAATGCTTCGACTCTGGTCTAGAGGCTTGTGCAGGTTCAGTCGGGAGGACAGTGAAGTCATCTTCGATTCCGACTTGGCGGTAGTATGGCACTTGGAATCTACAATGCGTGTTACGAGATCACTTGTTTGCCTGTCACTTCGTCACGATACTTTGCCAGTCAAGACGCGTGTTGCCTCGGCAGGCCTTGACACGTTCGTGTATGACGGAATCACTGGCCAAAGTTTGGCGCTATGGCCGTGTTCGGGACTCATGATCGGCAGGCGACACCGCTATTGGTGGTGCAGTCGAAGCGTGAGACCGAGTCGTTCCAGCGTGAGGAGATCTCGTTCATTTGCTGACTGCGTGCGCGGGATCGCGAAGCTTACACCTGGAGGCATGCGGATAGCGTAGCAGCGATCGTCTCTGCATACTTCCACGGCTTACAGTGTCGGGGCGATTCGAAAAGCCAATGCCATTGCTGATTGAACGCACTGCATCGTATCAGCGAGTCGATGGCTGCTGCACTCGTCAACAGACTGGACAAAGAGGATGGCAGGCACAGCGTGCTGGTCTTTGGTCGAGGCGGTGGCCCTTTGTACCATGTCGCTGACGAGAGCATAGAGGTGGGAATGTCCAAAGTACGAGCTACCGCTAGTGGCACACGCGTTGTTCACTGTTGCGCAAGTGGGCATCGATTCTGTCGCTCGGTGTCGCCATCAGTCTCCACATGGAAGTGGCATTGCGAACGTGTCAGCTGTGTAGATGTCAGCATGAAGGCAGAGGACAGAGGTGAACTGTTATTGCTCAAGAGACTTTAGGGGAGACGGACGCCTGCATACCCTTCCGAGGACGAAAGATCGATGGGACTCGATGCCTTCCAAGCACCACGCGCAAGGCATCAGACGATTACGACTTACTCGTCAAAGCACAATACGTGAGTGCTGAGAAGGCACAGCTCGGGCTCACCTGCGGCCGTTGCGTAGCCATAACGGCGCACATATCCTCGGGCCAAAGATCGCTGTTACAGCAGCACTTTTGCCTCTTACGGCGGTAGCAGTTACAGACGGAACCCGTCGCCACGTGTGACAACGTTTGGACCGTGTTTCGTCTCACTACCTCAACGCTCTCGGGGGTTACACGAAGCGCGTCTTTTTTTATTCGCCGCGCCGCAAGATAAGCGTAAAATACAACGACCCAGACAAATGTCCCTGAACCCATCATGAACCCAACTTTGACACTTCCACCCACCCAGCCAGCAACACGATCTCGGCGTTTCGAAGCACGTTTTTCGCACATATTATCCATCCCACGAGTCGGGTTCGAGATCTCATCCGTGAGTATACACACACCCCCCGTCGTCCGTATACGTCCGTCACCCGCTGCATCCCCTCATCAAACACACGTATCATTCTTGAAGTTGCCATCTACCGCACCGTACAAAGTACGCACTACCAAACACGATCGACCGTTGAGCTCATAGCATAGCATAGCATAGCATAGCATAGCATAGCGTAAAAGACAATGCCGGAACGCAGTCGCACTGCAACCACAAGTACAGGCGCACCGATTCGCTCGCCCGGGCTCAGTACATGTACGAGACCGCCGGTCGCTTAGGTCCCATCGTCCTCGAAGACTTTGCATTGCTCGACCACGTGGCGCACTTTGACCCCGAACGCATTCCCGAGCGGGTCGTGCCCGCCAAAGGCGGCGGTGCGTTCGGCTACTTTGAAGTTACCCATAGTGCCATTCATTACAAAGTACTGTAGCGCCAACTTATTCCATAGTGTGTCGGGAAGCGCACGCCCGTAGCCGTTCGGTTTTCGACCGTCGGCGGCGAACAGGGGAGTGCTGATACGGTGCGCGACCCGCGCGGGTTTGCGCTCAAGTTCTATACAGAAGAGGGCAATTGGGACCTCGTGGGGAACAACAACACGCCCGTGTTCTTTTTGCGGGACCCCATGTTGGTCCCGAGTTTCATCCACACGCAGAAGCGCTTACCGCACTCGCACTTGAAAGACGCCGACATGATGTGGGACTTTTTTTCTCTACGGCCCGAGACACTGCACCAGCAGAGTGTCTTGTTTTCCGACCGCGGAATCCCCGACGGCTTTCGCCATATGAACGGCTACGGCAGTCACACGTTCAGTAACGTGAACGCCGACGGCGACACGACGTACGTCAAGTACCACTTCAAGACGGATCAGGGTATTCGTAACTTGTCAGTCGATCAGGCAGCGGCACTCGCGGGATCCGATCCCGACTATGCCATTCGCGACCTCTACGAAGCCATTGCCCAGCAGCAGTATCCGTCGTGGACACTGTATATTCAGGCGATGAGCGTCGACGAAGCTGCGAACGAGACGCTCAATCCATTTGACGTGACCAAAGTCTGGCCACATAGTACCTATCCGCTGATTGAAGTCGCTCGGCTCGCGCTGAACCGCAACCCACGGAATTAGTTTGCAGAGATTGAGCAGCTCGCGTTCTCGCCGTCGCCCGACAAGATGCTGCAGGGCCGTCTGTTTTCGTACCCGGATACACAGCGCCACCGGTTGGGGGTCAACTACCTGCAACTGCCTGTGAATCGACCGCTCCATGACGTGCAGACGTACCAGCGGGACGGGGCAATGACTGTCCATGGCAACATGTTGGATGCCCCCAATTACTTTCCCAACAGCAAAGGAGGACCGCTGGAACAGGCGGTGCAACACGGCCCTCGCCACGTGGGCATTGTGGCGACTGTTCGATTGTCGACAAGTACGCAACGTCTGACGAAGACAATTACTCGCAGGTGGGACTGTTTTACCGCAAGACGCTGGATACCAATGGTCGGGACCATCTCACGGATAACATTGCAGCGTCGCTGGTGCGCGCGTCGCCGCCAGTGCAAGTGCGGGCGATTGCCAACTTTTTCAAGTGCGATGCACACTATGGACGCTGCGTGCAGGAAAAAGTGGACGCGCTGACGGCTCAAGCGCAGCACGTGGAATCTGCTGTGCGTCCGACGGCACCGCAGCTGAACCCGCCACGGAAGCACTTTGTACCGACCCCACCATCGGATGATATGACCCCGCGGTTGTGAGTGCGGATCGGACGTCGCCACTACTTTTGGATGGGCAGTTTGGGTCTGGTGGGGTCGGATCGGTCGATCGGTCGGTCCCATGTCCGTTCATTTTGTATGGAAACGTGACGCCTATGATAGCGACACGACCGGAAAATGAAAACTTGTAAACGACGTTGACGGACGTGTTTGCCTTGCGGTCCTGACAGGAACAAAAGAGGCTTTGCGTAACTACGTTATCATTGCTTGACACGGGGAGTGTTGTCATGCATCGGCCATGTCTTTACACGTCGTGTTATGGCTGTTGATACGTTCCATGTTGTAGTTGTTTAGCTCGTCGCAAGTGGCACGTTCCGGCTGAGGGAGTTGAATCGCTAGGTTCGCTCTTGCTGCTTCAACTAAAAAACAGCGTTTTCAGGTCGCAACGAGCAAAGCTGTTTGACTGCGGGCAGGCGCTGGAACGACGACATCTGTGGTTACAGTTGCAGTGCCGTTTCTTCCGTTAGATCGACGATCGAGGAGAAGTCTGCAGTCTCAGTGGTCATGTTGTACTGTATTTAGTTTGCCAGCGTCGAAACGGCCAACGAAAAGGTCGTGCAATGTCTTACAAACGAGTAGTTATACTCTCTCGCTTCAACAAAGTACTTTGTTCGACCGTCCCTGCGACATCTACGTCGACGAAAGTTATCGCCCCTTGATTTCGTCGTGCTATCCTTTACATGTCAAAAAGGGTCGGACCATTTTTCTGTCCCCCGTCTTGCACACAAAATGCGGTTCCCCGCACCAAACAACAACAGCACAAAACCCGAATAAAAAACGCACGTCCAAACGTCGCACGCCATCGACGACATATCTTCCGCGACTTACTCTGCTGCCCACACTCGCGTCTCGATGCCAGAGCCCACGCCCCGGCGCCGCACCATCTCGGAGCTCGACATGAGCTCCATGCGGCGCATCAGCGACGCGCTGCTGCTCGCTCAGAATCGTGCACGGCGCGCCACTGACCGCGCGAATCGTGCCGAACAGTACGTCCCGTAGTTTACGTGTATTTTATCAATATTGTTTTGCTATAGTGCCGAGTAGTAGCGTTGTATTGTCATTATTGCTGTATTGTACTATTGCAACGTTGCTCACGTCGCAGTTGATCGCCTGTTGTCATTTTGTACAGCGCTCTGCGACTCGTATTGGCCCAAGCGAATCGCTATCGACTCTGTCTCAATGCACTAATGGCCGATCCAGACGTGCGTCGAGCGACAATGGCTTCAACTTCGCTGCTGCTTATGGACAATGGACGAAGAAGAAGACGGCAACGACGACGACGACGACAAAGTCGAAGTGCTTCGATGGACAGTACCATAGTGGACGAGACGGCGTCCCGACCGTCGTCGCTGTGGTGTCAAGACGTCGCCAAAGATGTGGTGCGCCATTTGCAGCAGCACCTGACGCAGCAGAAGCGCTGCTTGGCGCTACTCTCGCGGCACGTTCCAGTCGTCAACGTCTCGCGCTGGAGCTATCTCGACCAATGGGGTTATGGTCGTCCCGTCTACTTTGTCGCTGGCCTGTTGGCTGGTGTGGTTGCTGCTGGCATTGTCGGGACCCACCAGTGGCAGCGGCACGTGCCAAAGCGTCAGTGGGGCAACAACACACCGTCGCTGCTATGTCAGCTGGCGAGATGGTGGAGCACCGCCGAACGTGGAGCTTCGGCCGCGGCGACAATGCCGTGGCAGCTGATTCCAGTGCCCATGGACGAGTTTAGCTTCGTGATGCACCCGGCAACGATTGCGATCGCGTGAACGTGACGCAATGGATCATGCAACGATGTGGCATTGGGGTATCTGTACATAGGGACAAGAACGGACGTGGTGGGTATTCGACGAGCTGCTGGATGGGATCGAGTGGATTTGAAAAGCACGGACACACTTGTGGTCGATGACTCTACGTCCGTGATAGTGTATGTATCGACAGGACATGTGGCCCAGTGGGAAAACGTTCGCCGTGCTGTATGGACCACACTGTACACTCGCCAACGAGTCTGTCGTCACGTTTTTAGCATACAACTCACGCACAACACGCTCATGAACGACATGGAGATTGGTGTACCTTGACGACTTTTACTTATGGTTGCTTCTTTTTCTGGGCGACGGCATGCTCCTGATTGTTCAGTGGCTGCCGAATGGTGATACACATGTCAGCGACGACCGCTGGACGGGTTTGGCAGTATAGCCACCAGAAGCAGCAGGACGACAGCTCACGTCGGTAGCTCCCTCCACCAGTCAGTCGGCCCTTGTCTTCACTCGTAGTAGCTGACCACAAGCAACAGCAGCTGCAACGACGACGAGCACTGCTGTCGCATTCACGCCCCCCTCCCTCCGCCCCAGACTCACAACAATGCACCGCCTCTTCACCTTCTTCCCATCGCCTCCTCCCTCTCCTCTCCTCTCTCGCCACCGTCTGGTCGTCCATGCTTCTAGATTGAAAACTCATTAAAGCTGCTCTTGTCCTTCTTGCCCTTGTTCTTGCCCTTGGCCTTCTCCTCCCGAGCAATGCGCACCGCCACGGGCTCCACGGCCTTCTTCTTCTTGCTCTTGCTCTTCATCACGGCCTTAATGTCCACGACACTGGCCACCGCTGTCGTCTCCGACTCGACGGCTTTCACCGGCTTTTTGCCCTTTTTCTTCTTCTTTGTCTTCTTGTCCCCTGCAGTAGCAGCAGTAGCCGTAGCACTCTCCAGTGTCCCCTCTCCCTCCTCCTCCTCCTTCTCCTTCTTCTGCGTTGACGCGGCGGTGCCACTTGTCTCCGTCTCAATGCCGAGCGCCGCGAGCGCAGCGTCCAGTTCCTTCATCTCGAGCTCCTTCTTCTCCTTCTTCGACAGCGTCCGCACAGGAACCACTGCGGTCTTCTTCCCATCGACAGCTGCTACCGACTTGACTGTCCCCTCTGCGTCGTCCCCTTCGTCGTCGTCTTCGTCCTCTTCTTCGTCACTCTCACTATACTCCTCGTCGTCGTCGTCGCCTTCGGCTCCAATTGCCGCTCCGTTTGCTGCTTCTCCTGTTGTACCCATTGGCAGAGTAACGGGCGCTCCATTCGCCGCGTGCAGTTCGTCGTCGCTGTCGTCGCCCCACGCGGTCGTCGACGACGACTTGTTCACGAACGAGGCGAACATGGAGTTCCCAGTGGTGGCAGTGGCGTCGGCCGTTTTCTTCTTGCGCTTCTCGGGCTGCAGCGCCGAGAACACGTTGCGCTGGGTACTCATGTGTGGATATGGCTCGGGTGGCGACGAGATGGGTACAGATGGAGCCAATGTACTGGAATAAGAGAGTGACTGACGGACGGACTCACTGGGGGGGATGACGAGGTCGGTTGGTTTTGTATTGTGAACAACTGACTGAGTGGCGAGCGAGTCGAAAATCGGGGGGGGGCGAAAACAATCGCTCGATCGCTCACTAGATCGGTAGATCACTACATCAGTGAATCGAGCGAGCGGCCGAAGTGCAACTATTGCAGTTGGGCGGGAAACTATTGCGGTTGCGAGTGCGATTATTACGATAGTGGACCACATGCCGCGCCCATCATCTGCGCTGCGCGTTGTCGTGCTGTGATTCGCTGAAACTCGACACCCGCACTTGCGACGCTGATGGGTACAGTCCCTCCTCGTCCGCTGGTAATTGATCGACACTGACTACCACTGGGACAAGAGAGAGAGAGAGAGAGGCGGAGAGGGCGCTATTGAAAGCCCGTGTAGCCATTTGCAGGCACCTGGTGCAGCCATTGTGCGAGTGTTCTTGTGCAGCCATTGCGTCGTCGCCCAGCGACACAGACAGCCCCCAACGACCGCCGTCCGTCGTAAGTGCCGCACGTGTTCTCTCTCTTTGCGTCAGCAGCGAGCGCACCCCTTCGCCGCACAGGCGCAGTCGACAGACCCGTACGCTGATTGGTCGAGTGGACGTACTGACTCGTGCGCGCTGTGTCGCTCTTTGTTTGTGGTGTGGCTGTGGTGTGGCTGTGGTGTGGCTGTGGTGTGGCTGTGGTGTGGCTGTGGTGTGCGCAGAATGTGTACGGGGACTTGCGCAAGGAAATGACTGCGACGTTTGACCGGCCCGATAGGGTACCGGTTGTGATTGGCGGCGGCGGCGGCACAGCGGCCGAGTACGCGAACCTCAAACATCTGCACGTGGGGTCGCCGCCTCCCAGTGACGCCAGCGATGTCGGCGACGCGGCCGAGCTGGACGAGGTGCTGGCCGCAGGATCGAGTCAGGGCCCGCAGACGCATCCGGGTGCGTGTTGTGGGGTTTGGTCGTAGACCGCGTGGCGTGGCATGAAGTGGACTTATGTGGGGCATTGTGTGTATGTTTGTGTCGTTGTTTGTTTTGTGTGGGTCTCTTGTGTGTGTGGGTGTGGGTGTGGGTGTGGGTAGGCATCATTTGGTGTGCGATTCTTTCGTTTGCCGGCTTCTTTTTGCTTGTGAGTCGTGTCTTGTGGCTGTTTGGATGTTGTTGGATACATGTGGGTGCGTTGTTGTGATGGACGTGGAGTCGCTTACGGACGATGTGCTTGTTTGTGTTTGTTTGTTTGTTTGTGTCGCTGGCAGTTTATTGTGGGCTGCATGGTCGGCAGCAACTCGCTGTATATCAAGGTTCGACCGCCCGCTGGCAAGTCCAAGTCGTCGTTAGCAGTGAGTGTGTTCCTCGCGTCGTTCATGTACTTGTGCGTCTTTGGCACGAGTGTCATGTACTTTCGGCGGGCACGACGTGCGCAGAAAGTGTATCAGCTCTCGCTCGACGTGCATGCTGATTGAGCGGCGGGGAGCAAGTCGAGGTAGAGTCTGGCAAGAAGAGCGCGCATTCGTTGCACGTCTGTAGATTATAGCACCACCACCACCAAGAAGGAGAAGCATTTCCAGCCAGAAACAATATAGAGAGAGATTGAGACACGGACACTGGTGTTTTATCAACGGCGGTAGCAGCAGCAGCAGCAGCTTCTTGCTGTCTTCGCAACAGGCAAACACGGCGGCATGGGCACAGACGTCGTCTTTTGGTCTACAGCCAGCAGACCCATACGATATGTCCTCGCACTCCTCATAGTCCTCAGACACCATTGTAGTCATCGCACTCTGTCTTCACCACTGCTTGCTCGCTTCTGTCCAACTCCTTGTCGTCACACGCTCCGTCTTCATCCTCGCCATCGGCAGATCCATTGTAGACGAAGATCAGGTTCTTCTCATACGCAGCTGCAAGCACCTGTCGAGCAGCTTCCGCACGAGCTTTCTTCTTGCTGATGGCGTTCGCTGTCGCAACGTACTCGCCGTTCAGATAGCCCCTGCACTCGAACTCGGTGACGTCTTTGCTTGGCGAGACATCCTTCATGTCAAAGCGCGCCAGAAGACCTCCGCGCTGAGTGAGCTGGTTCAGCAAAGATAGCGGCGAAAGCTGACGCTCGAGCCAAGTTACCCGAATCGGTCCCTCCTGCGCTGGGCTGCCACTAGCATTCGACGGACGACGTGGCTGCTGCTCAACCGCAGGCTCGTTCACGCTCGACTGCTTGCCTGCTTTTGTGCGCTCGAACTTCTCCAAATCAGCCAGCTCCTCTGGCAGAAGCTTGCCGGCCGCTTTCTTATCGCTCCACAGCTTCTCAATTGCAATCTTGCACGCTTCATTCTTGACGAGTTTCTTCGAAGTGCCTTGGACACCGCTCGCGAGGACCTCACCCGTCGCACCATTTGCAATCGTGCACGCAAACAGAGGTGCTTCACCTGCGTCCGAATTGTGCAAGTGTCGAATGTCCACCATCATCTGTTGTTTGATCTTCATAAAGTACACATTCAGCCGTGCTGCAGCCACACTGCCGTCCTCTCGACTTGGCAACGGCGTAGCATCAACTCGCTTTTGCATCTCCTGTTGCAGCTGCCGTGCCTGCTCTTCTGGCGTCAGCGCCGCCGACTGCGTTGCCGCTTCTGCCGCCATCGCAGCAGCTAATTGCGATGCACCGAGGGTGGCTACTTCCGCCTGTTTCAACTCCCATTTGCGTCGAGCAGCTGCAACGTCTTTTTTCAAGTTGAGAAACTGCGCCTTGTCGGGATACAAGTCCAGCGCCCGGTCAATCACTTCGTCTGCTTCGTCATGCCGGTGCTCCAGCAGCCGACCTTTGGCCAGCGCATACAGCGCTTTGGTCGACGACGCATCGACGCTCAATGCCTTTTCTGCGTACTCGTGCACCAACGAGAGGTCCTTCAGCTTGAGGCCACAGATCGCAACGTTGTTGCATAGGAGGACGTAGCGCGCTTGCACCTCGTCGTCGTCCCACTGGGCCGGTGGGACACTGCGGCCATAGTACTCACTCAACTGGTGCTGCTCGACGGCCTCGAGACTGCGTCGAAACGCAGTGCTCGCAGCGTAAAAGTGCTTCGCTTGGAACTTCTGTTTGCCCTCTGCCTGCGCGGCCGATGCAGTCTCGAGAAACACTGGCGGCGTCTCGTTCTCCTGCTCCTTCATCGCCAGCGCCGCCACGCGCTCGCTCAGTGCACGTGTGTACCACTGGTCAATGTCCAGTTGCCCTGTAGCCGCTCCCTCGTCTCGACGGCCGTCTTCGCTCTGCTGTTGTAAATGCGTAAGCGTCTGTCGCACGTGCGGGTCCCAGACCCAGTCTTCGAACGACCGCGACGCGTCGCGCACGAACGTCAGCAACAGGTCCTGCACGCCCCGGAGCGCGAGCAGCGGCTGTAGGAACTGCTGCGTCTGCGCGTCGCTCGCGCGCAAGACCGCGCGCAAGCGCGTGAGCTCGTCGGGGGCGGTCATTTTAGAAATGAACCCGCGCGCGTGACGCAGGGCGGGTCACGCATTTCTATTTGAACACCACCGCGCGAATGCGGTCGTAATTACGTATTTACGTCTTTCCAACTTGTGCCACTAACTCGATTGATCGCAAGCAATCGTCGTCAATGATTGCGTCATCGTCACGACCGCCACAGGAGACCTACCGGATGGTTGCCGAACTTCAGAGTGATGGTCAAGGGGGGCGCACTCGTGTGGTGCACACCACACACGTTCCCACCACTGACACTCCGCGCGCACTCTCATGGCAGCTGCTGCGTCGCGCGCCGGCGACACCCGACGCCCGTCCGACGCGTCGCCCGACGCTGCACCGCAGCCTTCACACACAGCTCGTCCTTTGGCTCCGCATGCGCCACGCGATACGCCGTCCGCGTCGGCGCTGCGCGCGTCCGAAGCGCCGTACCGCGCGCGCGTGCGGACTGTCCGGATAACCACCCGCGTGCATCCGGATATGCTCGTGCCCTACCTCTACACCGACCGACCGGACCGCTGCAGTATCAATGCCATTGGAAGTGACACTGCGTGTACGATTGACTACTGCGCGCTGTCGCCCTCGGAGCTCGCGCAGGTGCCGCCGTCGCAGGGCTTTGGCATGAACTTTTTGGTCGCTGGTCATTCCCGTGCAACGCTCGAGGCAGCGGCGGGCCGTCTGCAGGCGCTGGTCGAGACGGTGGAGGCGTATTTGTTGCAAAAGACAAGTGGACGGAGCCGAGCGGGAGGACGCGCAGCACAGAGCGAGTTCCGATCGAGTCGCGTGGACGCAGAAGGTGCAGCGCACGAGCACGAGGACGGAGAGCGGAAGCGGATGGAGACAGACGGACGGACGGTGCGGGATCGGCACTGGGCCGAGTGGACCGCAGACGAGTGCGCGTATAGCGCCGACGCGGCTTGGGCGTCGGCAACGTACCAGGTGCGAGGTCATGGCGATGGATGGAGACCGTGGAAACGGAGACAGGGGGAGATGATAGAGGACAAGGAAGAGTGGAGCGTGAGGAGGAGGAGGAGGGGGGTGCAGGCGTGTGGGAGACGCAGCTCGGACGTGGATGCAGCTGCAGGGGAAGGTGCTTTTGTACCGCATCGAGGCGGCCAGATGCGACCGCCCAGTGAGACTCGTCGTCGCGTGCGGCGGACGTTGGATGCTGTGCAATGGGTACCGAGGCAACACTCGCGCGGGATGCGTAGTGGCGATGCAGGGTATGCAGCGTACGCTGTTGCTTCCTCTGTTGCTGAAAACGAACCGTCCCATCGGATGCTCCACCACCAGCAGAACCACTATCTGTACCAAGGATCACCGAAGCAGTTTGCACAAGCCGAGTTTAGTCCGTATGGGGACGATAGACTGGAAAGTGACGATGGTGCAGATGTTCCCGAATATGAAGAGACAGCTGATTCTGCGAATGCAACCGTGCGATACAACGACGGTGCGGCTTTCTTTACGGATCAGCATCGATCCATGTACCGGTCGCATCCTTGCCGAAGTCTGAAGCGTCCGCTGAGCAAAGTGCAACGGAATGGAACTGTCACACCACCCAGCGTTTACCGGAAACGGATTCCATACATGTATGACTATCGGTATGACGACGAAGAAGATGAATGGATGACAGAGGAGGAGGAGGAAGTGGGTGGTGACTACGGGATTGCTCCGCAGTTTCGTTCCTTGGATTCACCTGTCGTGCATCAGCGACCACACTTTGATAGTAGAAGCCCAGGACAATGGGGAAGCCCTGTTGTACGTGCGCCCCACCAGTTGCATAAACGGCGTCGGATTCCGCCAGACAGATATTTTGCAGATGAAAGGATGAATAATGATTACAGGTATAACAGGCATAGTCACGAGCGTACGTTTTCCCCGGTTTTGAACGATCGGATGGGACAGCTACACAAAGTTGCAGCTAACGTCGGCGGTAGCACTTTTCCTGATCGTTTGGACAATTTGGAAAAAATGGCGGCTGAAGAAGAATCCACGGCGTCAAGCTCGATTGCAGCTCATACTAATGATGACGTCCTGACGTCTACAACTTGTGCGACCGAACCCGCTTACGACATGCTTGCTGACTCTTCCGTCGATAACGAACCACTCAGTTCGACCGGAGAATTGCCGCTGGAGCAGCGAGATCCATGCGAGAACGCAGAGGCATTGCAAGTTACAAGCGACAACACTGCTGCAGATGAGCCACACAGCGTATGCACGTCTCAAATGGAGACGGTGCCGCTGGAAAGTGCCGAAAGGACGGAGGATGCGGCTGCGGTTGCATTGCCACAGAACACGATTGCACTTGCAAGCCGTTCGGGCCCTGTCTCGAACGAGACTGATCGGAGTGCGCCAGGTAGTGACGTTTCTGTCTCGAATGAGACTGGTCCCAGTACGCCATGTGATGACGTCTCTGTCTCGAACAAGACTGGTCTTAGTGCGCCGGATTGTGACGTCTCTGACTCGAATGAGACTGGTCCCAGTGCGCCGGATTGTGACATTTCCGTCTCGAACGAGACTGACCTGAGTGCGCCATGTGGTGACGTGCTTGCTGCACAGCGTGAGAACAGCCAAGCAAATATTAGTGACCTCAGCAATCCGCTTGGAAATGGTGCAATTATGCAAGCACCAGTGTTTGTCGAATCTACCGTGGACCAGCAGTGCACGTTAAACGAAGGCAGACCCACGCAGCCGACAAGTGAGCGACCTGCTACCGACGCTATATGCATGAACGACTATGCCATTGAATCATTGAAGCGACTTAGCCGAGCGGAAGCTGATTTCGCAATTGCGGAGAGATCGCTGTTGACACAGGAAGCCAAGTTGCGTCAAGCGGAAAACAGAAGCAATCGATATTGGAGGCTGAAAGCATTGTGTGATACGGTTTGCTATCTACAGTGCCAAGTTAGTTCTTGTTCACGTGGTACGGATGCATCGCACAACCAAGATTTGCTGGACAAGCTCGAAAGTTTTCTCGAAAGTGCCGTGACACAAAAGGAGCAGACGCTGCATGACAAAGTTGTCGCGCTGCAAGGTGAAGTCGATCGCATTCTTGCTGTCCGCACACGTGTTGACAAGGATCAAGTCATCGAAGACCAGGCAAAAGCGGTTAAGCGGGACGGTGCTCTGGGCAACCCTACTTCGTCGACACCTTCGACTGAGAAGCAATGTGTCAATGGTGATGATGCGCAAGGCACGGCATGGGAGGACAGTGATTGGCCAGACGAAGATGTGCCGTGTGATGTGTCGAGTGAAACAGAGGCTTGTGCGGCACAAACCGTTTCTGAGAAAAGCGGTCCGAAAATTGGAGGCAGTCTCGTTCCCGTGAAACTGGAAAGAGGGATGTCACCTTCTTGGCCTCGCGAGCTGCCTCCATTTGTTCGATCTATGTTGTCCAGAGTGATTTTTGCAGATCCTCAATCGTACGTTATGAGGGCGGCACACGAGCGATTGCTGGATGAAATTGCGAAGGGAGATCCGTACTACTATTTGCAACCTAAAGTCGTGCATAAGAACGACGAAGCGTGTTTGCCGTTGCATTCCTCAGTCTCGCCGGTTTGTGAGTTTGGGTGCCGAGGCTCGTCAGCTCTGAAGTGGAAGCAAAAACTGGTGTCTCAGATTAGCGCGCGCATGAAGTCGTTCGATGACGTGGCATATTCGCTGGCTCGTAGCAGTGGAGGCAACGGAGTGCTGAACCGCAAGAAGGTGAACTCGATAATCCGCAAATTGCATTTCGTTGCTGTGCAGTTGCATTCACTAGTGTCACATCTGTATTGCGTAAAGAGCTTAGCAGTGTGCAAAGAGGTGGACTCGCTGCCGACGGCACTGAACAATTCTCATTTTGAGCGCAAGATGGGTGTGTACAAGTCGAGGTTGAAGCTTGCGCTTCCACACACATATCGGCAGCACTCTCGGCAGCAGCAGCACGATAGAAAGGGTTCAAACGCAATGGATGAGCTCTTGCTAGACACGTACGAGTTTTTACCTGAGCTGCTCCTTTGCGTTGATATTTGGGGCTACAACTATCGTGAAAGCGTCGCCAAGCGGCATGACTGCAAGAACGTACGCGAAGAGGAGCTTGTTGGCTCCGAGACGGTTTCGATGGGTGCGATGTTCCCGCTTGGTTATTTCCGCGAAGTAGAAAATTTGGCGCTCGACTTCAAGCACGACGGCAATGGTCTGCTTCGTTCCGTTTGCGACGAGCTGCTCAATATCGTGTGTTTGTGGAACGACTTTAAGTGGACTGATGATTTCGACTCCGTGACACTGGATCGAGTGATGTCATTTGAGTCGGATGTGACTTCTAGCATTGTCAAGATCTTTGATGTCTATGGCCATCACCTGCAGGCGCTTTGGTCCTTGAGTCTACTGGACCAGCCTGAACAGCTGTTGACTGTTAATTTCACGCAGCCGAATGCGTATTATAGTGACCGTAGCCGAGGAAGTTTGACTGCATCTGCCGGCTTGCAGTCACGAGCAGCTGGGTTGTCGACAAATTCGAGTCAAGATATACATGGCGACTTGACAATTGTGGATCAAGTCGTGGCAACCGAGATCATGGAGCAACGCCTTGCTGAGGACTACTGGAATCAGAAGGTCACCGCGTTATCGCTTCACAGCCCTGGCAATGGTGTGATGGAAGTGGATATTGACTCGACGTCGTTTGAGTTACTGGATGCTGACACCATTCGTTCCTGGGACCATGATACTAGGGTGTCGCATTCACTGCGGCCTAGCGACGCGTACGCTGTTCGCAGTGAAATGAAGGCGCTCTCAGCTGTCACTAGCTACATGATGAGGAGCGAAGTGCACGACATTGGGCTCTCAAATGGTGATGGCAGTGGCGCGACTAGTGACGATGGCGTGGACCAGGCACTGGTCGACGCGTCGTCAAGGCAGCTTCTTGCCGCTGTAAGCCGTGCTCAAATGGTTACGCGGGATGCGCTGATCGGCTCCGAGAAGCTTGCTTTGCATTCTGCATCGACTCAGCTCGCCGACGAGGGACAACGCGCTGATCTCTGCGCAAGCGAAACCGATCGGGTAGGACACAAGGAGAGTTCTGTGCCTGTGCGCGATGTGCCGTCTCGCCAGGCTTTGACGGATCGAAACAAACGCGCAGTAAACTCGGAACGTGCTGGTTTGGAAAGCGAGGTCCACGATGGGCACACTGCTTTAGAAGATTCGGGTAGACATGACGGAGATGACGCGAACGCAGACACTACGCTTGCTGCAGAACAACCTGAGTTGCAGGATCTGGTCCGGTTATTGGCTCTTACGAAACAAAGTATGCAGGACCTTTGCAGCCGAAGACCTCGGTCTGCTCGAATGCGTGAGAAGGTCCAGACGCAGTCGCTCCAGCTCGCATACCAAGCAGTTGAGATTTTTCGAAACATGACAAACATGTACGCGTCCCAGCGGCGATAAATTATTTAGATGTATGATGCAAGGCGAATCTCGCGGTCGCCGAGACTGAATCTTCTGGAGCCCAGGACAGGAGACTGGGCATTTGTTCTGCTACTTCCACTGCTGTGCACTCTTTATCTGTGCAATGTGATACGTCGGACAGCAAGGCAGCGCGGTTGACAGGGTGACTGAACACGAAGCGGCGACGATATATCTTCTGCTGCCTTTGTCTGAAAAAAAGCTGAACAAGTCTGTTTGCAGAAACTGAGCTGGACTGATGTTGACAAGCTGGATTTTGGCAAACTGCGGTGCAATAGCAACAGCGCATCCAAACTGGTTGTACAAACCACATGTCTGTCATACGATGACATCGCACCGTGAGCTGGGATGGGATCCCAATGCACAGCTCTGGAGAGATTTCGACCGTGGCACGTATTTCGAATTGTGGAACGATGACACGGTATTGCCGGCTAAATGGAAAGTGTCAGACAGTACCATTACAGCTTCTCCATCAAGTGTCATGTATTGCAGTTTCCTTGTTGGCCTTCGCGCGCTCGAGAAGCATTGGTCTCGGATAACGTACAACGTGCTGAAGGTGCTTCCCTCTCACGTCATATTCGGTATACTTTGGCACTTCCTGTCTTACAGATGCACGGCGTGATCACTGTCAAGTGGTCGTCACCGACGAGAGAGTTATGCACATGCGTGTCCAGGATTACGCGAATACGACATGTACCCGAAGATCCTGCGCTAGCGATTACGTCACTCTAGAGAGCAAACGATCGCTTCGCTCAGCGATGTCTCGCATCGAGTACGTACACCGTATTGTCGGAACCTTTTACGAGAGCGGTATATCGGTCGTAGACACTACTGCCTGTTCTCAGTGTCATGTGTGCGTCGACGATAAAGACGAGAGAGGCACTTTGTAGTGTGTACTGATGCAGACGTTCGCTAACGTGTTCACTCACTTATTTACATGTCGTTTCTTGCATCACGCCGACGACAAGTGCGTTACTGAGTACAGGTCAGCGACGAACCTACTGCAGTGCTGATCCACTGCTTCGGTTTCGATCAATCGCTTGTCAGCACTACAAAGCACTTTCATGCGCAACCACAGAGGCATTCCGGACAGCTCGACATGATACAGACTTGACCCTGTTCCCCGCTTGACGCGAATACATTCAGTCGACTCTGTCAACCTTTGCCGCGCATGTCAGTCAGCCGTATCCTCCTGCTTTGGTCGGCACACCCAAACAATGCTGTCTCAATGGCTGGTCGGAAGGTGATAGCGTGTGTGTATCATATATGCTGCAGGCAAAGCACCATCTGCATCAGCCATATGGATCGAGACAGCGATCATGCGGCTACAACTCATGGAAAACACACGTCATCTGCATACGATGGAGCAGTCATCTTTCTCGCTTGCGTTTGACAGCTCAGCTGCATTCACAAAGCGCAGTATCTTCATCAGCTCCACTTTGGCTTTGTCTCGAACGCCAAAGCCGCTGCAACATGTACGTCTGAATCGATTGCGTGCTCGAGTCTCATCTTTCTAGTCGACCCAGTTCCACGTCTGCATCCGGTGACAAGACGTCCGGACGTATGAGTGTGGGCTTCCTATCTCCGTCCATCTTCTTCTGACTACTGCTTCTCCGTACGTAGCCATTGCAAAAACATGCAACAACAACCCAAGAGACTGGTGTTGTTGTAGCTGCTGTTGCATCTGTTGTTGACTAACAAGTAGAGCATTGTCAAGCAACCAGCAAAGAAAGAAAAAGTCATGCAGCGTTGTGGTTGCAGAGGACGTGTATACCAAGTTGTCCGTATCGGAACCTCCTTCGAAGACCCGATGATCCAAAGCTCAAGCACCCGGCAACATGACAGTCTTCAAGAAGGTCCTGACACGACATGCAATCGCACTGATTGACTTCTACAGCAAACTATCGTGTGCTCTCACGCGCTTTCCATAGCAGTGAGTGGATCGAGGCAGGTCCCTCTGCGTCCGCCCACTTCCCAAAGACCGTCTTCTGTCGATCATTGTCAAAACCGCTGCCTACTCGTTGTCGTCCGTCCAACAAGAGGACAACTCGCGTCGCATCGATGGTCCACTGCAGTCGCGCAGGACGTTGTGCTCTCAATGTCGCGATCGCTCTTCGTCGGTCCGCCTCTTTATCGACAAAGCGAGCGACGACCTGATCGGCGCTCGTCATTGCGTTGTTGTGGTCGCATTGCCCCCGTCGCACATGAAAAGGCCTCTGGAGATCGCACCTGCTCTCGCTGCGATCCGAAGCCAACCGAAGGCGAAGAGGGATTTGAACCGACAGACCAGCGTCGATCGGTTGACTGACTGACTGACTCAACCTGACAACCCAACTATCCAACCAGGACAACCACATAACCCAACCGGACAACCCAACCAAACACCAGTCAATAGGTTGTCGACGTCGTCCAACCTCATTCTCGAAAGCCTTTTGCTTCGTTCGCTTCCGCTTCTCCGCTTCTTCGCCTGTCAGTTGTCAAGTAACTACCCCCCCCCGATCCCCTACTACCGCTTCTCTTCTTCTTCTCCTCCTCCTCCTCCTCGTCCTGTGTCCTGTTCGATTCGATGTGGACACTCCGTCACGCCGTTCACCAGCGACTTGCGGTCGCCTGTTGTCGGTCTCGCGCGCTCACGGCCGCTGCTATTGCACAGGGCAAAGTGCCGATCGAGAACCTCTTTGTGACGTCGACCGAAGGGACAAAGCACACGGCGCCAGTGCTCATTGGATTGGCCCATACGCTCGAGCAAAAGTTCGCCCGAGTGGGCTACTTCCGACCGCTGCAGCCCTTGGGCAGCCGAACGGATTACCACGTGGAGATCATGAGGGACCAATTGGGATTACGCGCGAGCGACCACGAGCTCTTCGGGGTCACGAGTGACCGCGCACTTGCGAGTTGGCTCAATGGCCAACAGGACGACCTCGTCGAAGAGATCTTGGACCGCTACGAACGCTGTCGAGAGGGCTACGACTTTATGCTCATTGAGGGCTCGCAGCTCTCGCGGCACGAGAGTGCCCTGAGCTGGAAAATCCACGTCGACATTGCCAAAGCCATTGGCGCTCCAATGCTCACGATCTCTGACTTTAGTGAGTCAACGAGTGCTGAAGACGCTGCAGCACTTGTGGACGAGATACTCAATCGCTCGGCACTGAGCGCAGAGCTCGTGGAAAGCACAGGACTCACGTACATTGGGCACATTGGCAACCGGGTGCCAACCCGCGATTCGAAGGCGCTGTGGACGGCACTGCGGGCGCGCGTGGCCGAGCAGGGAGTGCCGTTGCTTGGGTTCCTCCCACATGACGACTTTCTCGCGTCCAAGCGGCTGAACGAAGTGACGCACCAACTCGGCGCGACGCAGTTGTTTGGCACGAAAGCCATTCCAAACAACGTGGTCGTTACGTCGGCAGTGGTCGCGACCAGTGCACTGAAGGACCTGTTCTCGCACTTGAAGCACTACAAAGACGGCGCTCTGGTGATCACGTCGGCCGATCGCTCGGACGTGATGCTCGGGCTCATGGTCTCGCGCCTCCCAGGCATCCTCCCGAACGTGTCGGCCATTGTGCTCACGAACGGCAGCTACCCTCACAGCAATACACAGGAGATCCTCCAAGGCGTGGAAGCGCTGGACAAGACGGGGCTGTCGATCCCGATCTTCTCCGTGCCCGAAGACACGTTCACGACAGCCGACAAGTTCTCGAAAATGTCGACCGACATCTTGCCCACGAGTCAGCTCAAGATTGACCGGTCGAAGCAGCTCTTTGACGAGTTTGTCGACACGGGGAACCTCATTGGCGAGCTCGATGAAGGCATGGTCGTGAATCGATCGCCAAAGCAGTTCCAGCACTTTTTGTTCCGCAAGGCCCGTGCCGTGCAGCGGCATATTGTGCTCACGGAAGGCGAAGACATTCGCGTGCTCCAAGCAGCAGACCAAGTGCTGCGGCAGAAGCTGGCAAACGTGACGATCTTGGGCAATCCGGACGAGATCTACCGCCATGCAAAGGCGCTCAACTTGGATTTGTCTCGGGCACAGATTGTCCGCACGGCTGAGAGCGACGTGCTCGAGCACTACGTGAACGTGTACTATGAGAAGCGCAAGCACAAAGGGGTGACCCGTGAAACAGCTCGCGATGCTGTGCTGGAGGAAACGTGCTTTGGTACGATGATGGTCGAAATGGGGGATGCAGATGGGATGGTGTCGGGCGCCTGCCACACGACGGCCAACACGATTCGCCCAGCGCTGCAGCTCATCAAGACCGCACGCAACCGTCCGATTGTGTCGAGCATCTTTTTCATGTGCCTCGACGACGGAGTGCGGATCTACGGGGACTGCGCCGTGAACACGGATCCCAGTGCACAAGAGTTGGCTCAGATTGCAGTGACGAGTGCCGAGAGCGCCGAGGCGTTTGGCTTGATCCCTAAGGTCGCCCTGCTGTCGTATGCGACGGGGGACTCGAACTCGGGTCCGATTGTGGACAAGGTGCGGGAAGCGACGAAGATTGCACAGGCGTTGCGGCCAGATCTCGATATCTACGGTCCGATTCAGTACGATGCTGCCGTGGATGCTTCGATTGCCAAGACGAAGCTCAAGGCGATTCCAAGTGGCGCGAGAGTCGGTGGTCAAGCGAACGTGCTGATCTTCCCAGACCTGAACACGGGCAACAACACGTACAAGGCCGTGCAGCAGAGCACGGGCTGCATTGCCATGGGCCCGATGCTGCAAGGTCTGCGCAAACCTGTGAACGATCTGAGCCGAGGCGCAACAGTGAAGGACATTGTGACGACCGTTGCAATCACGGCAATTCAGGCGGATCAAGTGATTCAAGAACGGGATGCCAAAGCCGATGCTGCTGCTGTATGAAGACACCCCACACAGGTGTGAAAACGGCGTTCATGGCAGTACACCAGACACTCGAACCTAACGAGATGTGGATGTCCAGGTAATGAGAGCATTGGGACACAAGGAGGGGCAGCAGTGTGCGTTGTGTGAGCGAGTAGTATACATGTAACTTATAACTTGCTTTACTTGTCTGGTACTGATGATCACTTGGATGGTAAGAGTCAAGTGCCAACTCTTGTGGCCCGTTGAGTTTGTTTGGCAAATGCTGTATCCTTTGCTGTCCTTGACAACGTGTAAAACTATGGAGATGATGATGATGCGGGCAGGAGCCGCAGCTGAGCGTTGTGCATGTAAAAAGTTATATACCCATCGGGTAGTTCCTTCGCCTGGAGTTGTTGTACATACGTACACTCTGACCGACGTGACTGTTGACCGATGCGATACATCAATGTACTTGTCCTGTGAAACACGTGACTCGTGAAAGCCATAACCACAAAAGAGTGCCGCGATGTTGTTCAAGACCATAGATGCAGTTCGTATCTTTGGTACAGTAAATTACTTATAGCAGTCGATACCTGGCGAGATCCGATCGCTCTACTCGAAAGCACACAGCATTTGCCATTTAGGTTGACAAGGCGTTCGTCTGCCGTATTAGCCTCTTACACAATCGTCATGAAGGAGATCTGGACGTCATGTACAAGTGCCCTGCGAAGTGCAAACCACTAGCAGCAACAAGACTTCTACGTTTGTACCACACATAAACTATTCCGGATACGTTTTTTGCGTACAGCGTGTCATGAGTTGTCTACTTGATCAGTCGAGTCGATTGCTAACGACACCTTGCAATTGTACCGTTCATCGCAAGGCCAGAGCTAGAACGATGCACACTTAGCGTTGCAACTCGAGACTATCCTGAACGAGGATGCTGTATAAAGCGCAGAGGTTGGCGGACGTGGGTGGGTGTTCGGAAGGTCAAACAATGATAAGCAGATTTAGGTATGTGCAGCGTCGCGCGCAATGGAAGTGCAATGGTGAATGTTGATACACATGTGGGTTGGCGACATACCGACGCCTTTTAGGTTTTGTGGGATGTCTGGGTACAGGTATACCATACGAACATTGGCACGCAGGCGTAGTTGCCAGCATAGGTAGGAGAGACCGATCTAGGTGGGCGAGACGAAGTACGGCAAGCAAATCCATGTATCATAGTTGGCTATTGATACTATGCTCGACACTAGAGCTTTTATAACATCGTTTATCGTTGTGAAAGCCAAATATACGCGTGATGGCACAGACAGAAGTACTATTTTCTAGCAAATTGTCAAGCACTTGTAATCCATACCGACGACAGCATTATCTTTCTTCTGCTACCGTCTATTTCCTACAGAGTGAGACCAAAAATGAGTCCGTCGTCGCGGATCACTTCAACCCCTTACGCGTCTATCCTGCAGTATCATCCCCTGGTCACCACCCTTTGTGTCGACTTCTATCAACGTACCTTTTTTTCTGCACACAGCACTTGTGCACCAGTCATTCCTCAGTCCATCCAAAGAAAAAATGGCTACAGTTCCAGTTGTGAGCGAGTACGAGGCCAAACGTCTACGACGCATCGCCGAGAACCACGACAAACTCCAGGCGCTTGACGTGCCATCGTTAGCTGTAGCTCGTCCGCTCGCAACAACGCGCAAAACGCAAACTCGACCCGTCGAAGCGCTTCCACTCGAGCCTCCGCGCAAGTCGTTACGGCAACGTAAAGAGCGCTATGTGGGCCATGAGCAACATACGCCGCCCGCGCATCGAGACCCATTGGACTGCACGCGGGTAGGGCTAGCGAAACAGCTGCATTGCGGGAAGCGACTGGTGGGGCGGCCATCGGATGTGGCGGAACATTCCCAGTCCGTAAATGAGCCGAAACAAGGGGTCGGGGACGCGGGAACGCCACGTGACGAGTGCATGTTGAAGCACGAACAGGTACTGCTCGAGAGTGTCGACTGGAGAACGCGACGAAAGCGACAGGCGCAAGCAGCGAAGCGACAGGCAGCAGTCAAGTTGCAGGCGAAGCGGAGAGCGCAGAGGGCGCAAGCGAAGCGCGAGTTGCAAGCGATGCAGCTACACGAGCGTCGGATGCGACAGGAACACAAAGAGCGACTGCAACTTGCTCGACTGGTGGAAAAGGAGCTGGCTCTGCAGCAAAGGATCGAAGAGGGCGAGTTGATGCGCATGGAAGACCGCGCTGCGCGTCAAGTGGCGAGACAAGCGGCGCGAGATCGCAAGCTCCAGCAGTTGGCGGTGCAAAAAGCCGAGTGGAAGGACACAGTGGGGGATGTGGTAGCGGAAAGACAGAGGACAGCGCGTGCGAGGAGAGAAGCGCGCGACAAGGAGATGTATCCCGTGCGTAAACTACCGTTGCCGTTCGTGCACATGACAGACCAGACAGATGGCGGTAGCGGTCGTGCAAAGCCAGTGAGGGGAACGCCGTTGCTGAAGGTGGAAGCACACCTCTTCCACGCATTTGCACTGGGGAAGCAGTTTCTACCACCTGGTAAGAACGCTGTCATGCAAGGAATGTGCCCGGGAGGCTATACGGCGCGCTTTCGTCACGACGTCGATGTGCACGGCTGGGCGAACGCTCTGACGCTGTTCGTGCATGGCACAACGGGGCTGTTTTACCGCTACATGTTTGAAGAGCACGTGCTGCACGGTCGCACGTTTGTTTCGTTTCGATGGACTCGGTGTCAAGATGTGACACCATCGATGCTGTGCCGCCTATCCCGGATACAAAAAGGGGATGAGCGGCTACGCTTGGACGGGGAGAGCTACGATGCCACGGCGACTGCTGAACAGCCCGAGCCACTTTTGCTTTTCGTCCAGTATCCCAAGGTCCGTTCGCACCTGCTTGGCCTCATGATGACGTGTTACACTCCCAGTTGCTCATTCTGCGTGTTTGTTGGTCACAGGGCCCGTACATTTACTGTGGGCGACTTGGGGTTTTGGGCCATCGAGCTGAGCCACTGGAGATCTCGTTCCAGCTTCTCGATGTCAACGCACTGAATTGGAGGCAGCTGTTCACCCTGTTGACATCGGGCTGAGAGCCACTTTTTATCGTTGTGATCCATCCTATCATGTTTTATCTACGAAAACTCGTCGCACATCTGCGCACGACCAAATCGCACGAACGTGCTGTCTATGTTATCCCTTTGTAGCACTCGAGACAAAAAGTCGTCAAGACACCTACATTCCAATATGGCGGCAGCAGCCGATACCCGACAATTGCCACAGCTCTCTCGATTATCACATGGGGCTCCTCCAAATAGTCCTACCACGAGCAAAACGGCCCTTACAGCCGGCTAGACACAAAACGCGTCCTTAAATATCACTTTTTCGCCTGCCAAGGCCATTCAGGAAGAACTAAATCCGTGCATGACAAAACGTGCCCAGTCTCTAGCCGACATCCCACGCGACTACTTCAACGTCACATAGAGCAGCTCTCGTCTTTATGGCCAGACGGCTTCATCTGCTTCAAGTCGACCTGTATTGACCGTTCTGCACCAGCGGTTCTGGTCGCCTTTCGACGCCATGTCCAAAAATGGGATCCGACATGATCTGTTGCGCTGGACATTGTCGCCTCTTTGTCTGCATGGCTTGTCACTGCAACGGATACTGCTCGTCGACCAGGTGCACCTGCTCTCCAGTGGATTGTTGGGGATCGGTGGAAGGTGAGGGGGGGGGGGGCGAGCGGGCGAAGGTAGAGGTATGAGGTGTGAATGGAGAACCAGACAGAACCAGAGAGAGATTGACAAAGAACGAGATAGAGAGAGAGAGAGACCTCGCAGACATACGCACTTGAGCTCTGTCGTTCATTGCAGCATCGACCGTCGAGCGCCCTCGCGAGATACAAACGGATTACCGCAGTGACACCGTCTCGCTCCGCTTGTCCCCCGACCCGTTCCGACGAGAGACGACCTCATGTTCCGAACTGCCTTTTGTTTTGTGCTCGTTTGCCACGTCCTCTTGGCTACAGTCGAATGTGTCAACGGGTTCGCTTCGGACGACGCGCGAGCTGCTGTGGAAAGCGTGACGCACGTGGATCGGACAATTCGCAGCCTCCAGGCAGCTGAGACTGCAACGGAGACGTTGCACGACGAACGGGAGGAGCTTGAGGACAGGGGACTGGGGGAATGGCTGGGCTTTGTCAAGAAAGAAACCCCTGCACTGTCGAAAGCTGTCGAAGAGAACGCGGAGGTCGCGGCGAAGCTGAAGAGTGTGGTGAGCGACAAGGACGTGGTCGACAAGGCAACGGTCGAGAAGGTCAAGACGGCCGTAGCGGAAGAAACGAGCGCGCTGGAGAAGCAACAGGGCGGCGTGCTGCGGCGGTTCTTCCAGCGGGTCAAGGCGGTTCCAGTGGAAGGCGATGTCAAGGCCCTTCTGGTGGCGTACCTGGTGTTCGCCTTGTTGACGACGGCGATTCTCACGACAGGGGCGATGATGTATCGGCGCAACATGGCCGAAGCTCAGGCGGCCCAAGCGGGGCACTATATCTCCAAATAAACACACTACGCGTTGTGTACACATGTGGTTGGCGTGCGGTCTAGTGATGATGATCGTTTTTTGTATCGTTTCGTTGGGTCTCTCCGGGTGGGTGTGTGTTTTTGTGGCGCAGTCAGTCGTGTCCAGTCGTACGAGAAGTGCGTTACAAAGCGGAAGGAGCTCGACGTACGTATTGTGTGAGCGGTCTTTGCAGCGCGAGGAGACCATCCGGGGAAACAGAGCAGGAGGTCGTCAAAAGCAGTGTGTACGATGTACCTTGCAAGCAGGTGATAGTGGTGTGCAACGTCGGTCGTGCTTCAGTGCGCTGTAGCTTTGGGTGTCGTGAAACTCGTTGTCGGAGCACGCCCCACTTTCTTGAAGACCAGCTCGTGCACTGCAAGGAATACAATTCATCAGCGTAACATGTCTGGCGATCTATGCTTATCAGACCTGTGTGATTGAGACGGTAGCGGTTGATGATGGAGTGAGTTCGCATGCACACCGACAATGACAACGCAGCTGTGCAGTTCCTGACGATACGATGTCGTCTTTCACGCATGCTCAAAGGCGCTTTACTACTGCATGACCCCGCTTGTGACAGACAAATGTTGGAAGAGCCGAAAGACGCTATTCACTCCCTTCGACGACAACTTCTGCTCGTTTTGCTCGGACAGTCTCCTCGCGCTGCAAAGACCGCTCACACAATACGTACGTCGAGCTCCTTCCGCTTTGCAACGCACTTCTCGTACGACTGGACACGACAGACTGCGCCACAAAAAAACACACACACACAAACACAGAGACCCAACGAAACGAAACGATACGAAAGATCATCACCACCAGACTGCACGCCAAACACATTTACACAACGCGTCGTATATACATTTAGGCATTCGACTTTGCCTCAGCTATTGCCTCCTTACGCTGTACAATAGCGGAAGCTATAGCAGCAATGCCCACGATTATTGAAAGCACAATGACCTGCGTGATTGTAGAGAACTTGAGCTTTCTGCGGAGTTCCTCTACCTTGATGTCCCGATTGAGCGCCTTGATCAGATTCAGCTCCGCTCTATTTTTGTCAGAGTCACTGACAGAGTGTCTTCCCGATTCATTCGGTGAATCAACCTTGGTCTCGTCCACCGGGTCCTTGCTCGTTGCCACGCCCTCAGCTTTCGCAGAGACCTCGGAAGTCTGTCCGTTTGCCTTGAGCTTGACAATTGCTGGATCAACTTTGGTCTCGTCCATCGGATCCTTGCTCGTTGCCACGCCCTCAGCTTTCGCAGGAACTTCGGAAGTCTGTCCGTTTGCCTTGAGCTTGACAATCGCTGGATCAACTTTGGTCTCGTCCATCGGGTCCTTGCTCGTTGCCACGCCCTCAGCTTTCGCAGGGACTTCGGAAGTCTGTCCGTTTGACTTGAGCTTGACAATTGCTGGATCAACTTTGGTCTCGTCCATCGGGTCCTTGCTCGTTGCCACGCCCTCAGCTTTCGCAGGGACTTCGGAAGTCTGTCCGTTTGCCTTGAGCTTGACAATTGCTGGATCAACTTTGGTCTCGTCCATCGGGTCCTTGCTCGTTGCCACGCCCTCAGCTTTCGCAGGAACTTCGGAAGTCTGTCCGATTGCCTTGAGCTTGACAATTGCTGGATCAACTTTGGTCTCGTCCATCGGGTCCTTGCTCGTTGCCACGCCCTCAGCTTTCGCAGGGACTTCGGAAGTCTGTCCGTTTGACTTGAGCTTGACAATTGCTGGATCAACTTTGGTCTCGTCCATCGGGTCCTTGCTCGTTGCCACGCCCTCAGCTTTCGCAGGGACTTCGGAAGTCTGTCCGTTTGCCTTGAGCTTGACAATTGCTGGATCAACTTTGGTCTCGTCCATCGGGTCCTTGCTCGTTGCCACGCCCTCAGCTTTCGCAGGGACTTCGGAAGTCTGTCCGTTTGCCTTGAGCTTGACAATTGCTGGATCAACTTTGGTCTCGTCCACCAGGTCCTGAATCTTTGGCATGGTCTCAGCCTTCGCAGGAACCTTCAAAGTCTGTTCGTCAGCTTTGAGGCTGTTAAGCTGATCTAATCCAGCCACCGCGTCAAGAAAAACTTCATCATTCGACAGGGTCTGCCTCATCTTATTGGCTTCGATGCCCACATCGCTTGGAGCCGTAAATGCTCTTGCAACACGTGCCACTGCGCCTCCAAGTTTATCTCCGATCTCACTAAAATACCCCCGGTCTTCAAGCTCCTCCCGTTCGTCGAGCAAAGTCTCCATTGCAGTCTCAGCTGCCTGGAGACTGCGGGCCGTCCTGTCCACGTGATCCACCACGCGCACGTGCGTCACGCTTTCCACAGCAGCTCGCGCGTCGTCCGAAGCGAACCCGTTGACACATTCGACTGTAGCCAAGAGGACGTGGCAAACGAGCACAAAACAAAAGGCAGTTCGGAACATGAGGTCGTCTCTCGTCGGAACGGGTCGGGGGACAAGCGGAGCGAGACGGTGTCACTGCGGTAATCCGTTTGTATCTCGCGAGGGGCTCGACGGTCGATGCTGCAATGACCGACAAAGCTCAAGTGCGTATGTCTGTGGGGTCTCTCTCTCTCCGGTTCTCTCTCTCTCTGGTTCTGTCTGGTTCTCCATTCACACCTCATACCTGTGCCTTCGCCCGCTCCCTCCCCCCCTCACCTTCCACCAATCCCCAACAATCCACTGGAGAGCAGGTGCACCTGCTCTCCAGTCGACTGGCAGTATCCGTTGCAGTGACAAGCCATGCGGACAAAGAAGCCACAAAAAAGTCCATCGTGGCAGACCGCGCGCGCGAGAGAGAAGCAGATGTGTCGATCTAACCTTTTGCTGCTTGCACGATGTCGGATGGAGCCTAAGCCTCGTTAGAAACGCCAGTACCTTGTTCGAGTCCGATGGTCCTACGGGGCTTACCACCTTAAGCGACGGCTCTCTTTAATGCCTGGCGAGTTGGCGCAAACGAAAGAGCAGGCGGGTTCCTTGACTCTTGATCTCGTCCCTGCAAAACTCCCGCTTCGCTACTGCTCAGAGTTACTGCAGACTTGTTTGCCACAATTCCTCGACGCTTCCAGCGAGACGATACCGCTTTGCGTTGAAACGAACGCGATCCCGTAATATCCACAAAGTAGTTGTGCAAATGCTGTCCAGCAGTCGCCACCGTCTCATGTATACCATCGCATCGTCTCGCTCTTCAAGTTTCGATGATCTCGCACTAGAAGGTCCGTGACCACCTTTACTAGCGCCGGCGCTGATCGGCTGGCACGCAATGGGAGCAAAAGCGTTGCAGTTGGCCTAGTTCGTTCCCAACATTCTCCCGTCCACTAATGACGTATGAGTTTCTGCCAGCAGGACGGTGCACATGGACACGTCCAGAAGATGTGTTCCGGCGCCTTGACCACCCCACGGCAGCAATGAAGCTCTTGACAAGAGCGGTCCAGCTCTCTCCCCGCAAAGTGAATGGTGAGTGGCCCCACGGCCAATCGATTGCAGACCCACGTCTTGGTATTGAGTAAGCTCGGTGCCGTACGCCCAAAGCGATGCAGAAGTCTGTGCTACCGCAGCAGCTTGCCAATCGCTATTGCGCGCTGCAGTCTCAAGCCTGGCCATCGTTTGATCGAGTGCCCTGCCGAAACCCTTTCAACGATCGAAAAGGTTCGGGGTTTATCGCCGACTAGAACCTGTTTGTTCGCGACGGAGTTCGAGACACTCCACGGAATAGCCCGTAAACCAGCGGATGCGCGTAAAAGACAATGCCGCGTGCTGCTTGGGCTCCGACCAAGTGTGCCAGATAGTCAGCCAGCCGCTGTCTGTTGATCCACGATGGTGCCCGCAGCAACGGTCCAGTGACCACCATCGCTCTCTTGGTCAACCAGGGATAACTACCCCCCCCGCTCAGCAGACGCGCACTCGCCGACTCGCCTTACTCGTCCCGGCAGAATTAGTTTCCAAAGAGAGGCCCGAACCAAATCTCGTGGGGGCCGCTGGCGCAGGAACCGCTGAGCTTGGAGATTACCACGGCCAATGTTGATATCCGGCACACTGACCAGTATCGCCACATACCCCTTAGCGACGCAGCTTGGCCTGTTGACGCTCGTGCTGCCCAATACGGAGGCACGACGACAGAGTACGTGTGGACGCCGATCCTCTGCAGGGCCAGAACCACAATGCACACGGCTGATTCTTGTCATCCTTTCTGGCTGTCAGGGGGTCCCCTCGTTCATTCAGACCATAGGAATCATCAGTCCACGAGAACGTGGGCTAAAAGGCTCTTCAGGTGTCAATACCTGGGAACATAAATGTAGTCGGAAGGCAACTAGGACTGCTGGTGCAGCATGTGTCGATACACGGCACTTGAAGCAGATGAGTCGGTCTCGGCACACTGCCAGTTGCTTGTGTGTAACGTTGAAGTGGTCGCACAATATCTCGGCACGAGACTGGATACGTTTTGTCAATGTACTTCTCTCCTTTGCTCTTCACGTCGTGCGTTTTTGCTCTACCGCAGTAAGCACTGACACAAGAGACCAACTTATGTGAGCAATTCCGCTGGCCACACGCAACGACGACGGACAACAGTCGGCACACAGTCAATGCGGGTCTGCTCGTCACACCGAAAAATGTAGGGGATTGAATTTCGTAATGTTTTTTCAGAATTCTTATTCTTTTGTTAAATTTGGCAGTGGACCAGGCCGACCGAGTCGCAACGCGAGTTGCCGGGAGAGGCTAAATACAACGGGCATTTTTGGGGAGAGGCTAAATCCACGAGCACCTGTCCATTCGACTTACTGTTTATATCGCAACAATGATGACGCAGCCAGGCCACGCCGACTCGAATATTACAGGATAAGCTAATCAGAAATGCACCTGTAACGTAGCCAGGCCACGCTGATTTAAATAAATTACAGAATAAGGTACTTAAAAATGCTCCCGCGGCCTTACACTGCAACCGTGGATAATATATTTTGGTCCTTCATGTGCTGCAGCAGAGATTCCATGTTGATTTCCACCAAGTGCCTTTCTGTTTGCCTTTTGAACAATATTGTGGACATCCTCTGCACTTATAAGGACACCCGCTTCCTTAAACTGGTTAACAATAACCTGTAATAATCACATTTAGACACAAAAACAGATAATGACCTGCTCTATATGACTTCAACACGCACACATTACCGTGAAGCAAACCCATCTTGATGAATCAGAAAGACCTTGAAAACTCTATCTTCAATATCTCTCGTCGCACGTTGCGCAGCCGGTAGCGCTGAGAGCATAGTCTTGCTGATACAACGGGAGTGACCGGTGTGGCATTTGTTCACACAAAGCGTTGACCAGGCACTTTCTTCTAGGGCGTACTTGTCATACATGATCACGAGCTCGTATGAACAGCCGACTTTTTTGTTCAGCGATCTCGCATTGACGTGTGCCGACTGTGGTATGTCCTATAATGTGTTCCCTGCCAACATGTGAGAAAACTGCGCTTGGGACTAACCGAACAGCTGCGGGATACACTAATAGCAATGCCTTGGCGTACGGCGTTCTGCTTCAAGTCCTCTACAGCCGTCTTTTGACTATCAAAGGCTCGACCGGTGGAGATTATTCACAGATCTATGAGCGATGAGCGGTGGTAGGATTAGGGCTAGTGTGATGGAGTGGTGATCGCTCTTTTGAGGAGTCGATACCAACTCTCCACTGGCGCCGGACGACCGACTAACGGATGGGGTACTCCGATTTCGTGTTCTTGATAGCCTTCCTCACCTTTTGTACCCGTCAGTAGGGCGGGTTGCACAGTTATAGCTGGACTCGTGTCAATGGAAATCTTGACCGTGTTTATGATGTGTCGAGATTTGATCTCGGTGTGGAAATCTTCATACCGCGATCGGGGTTGACGTGATCTCGTGGAAGTCGTCACGAGATCACTTGTATACCTATAGGGAGCTCGATATGAGTCACCCTGATCTGTAAAAGATCGCCTTATCCAAAAGTAGACCTTGATTCGCGAGCCTTCTGACCACTTGAGCCGTCTCGAGATCTTGGGTCCTCAACCACAAAGGGGTTTCCTGCGTCCAGTCGCAGTTGGGGTTCTGTTTGATAGTTCTTGTACCTGGCAAAACAATCCAAGGATATCACTTAATTAAAGTATGTAACTTTTCCATGACGTCGGGTGGCCAGTGATCCACACGGAGGAGAAGTCGACACTTGTACTTTCAAGCAAATTTGTCTATGTCTAATGTTTACCAATCAACCAAACAACCCTTTCCCTATCAGTATGTCTTGGACATCGTTTGCCACATGCCGCTCTCTCTAGGCGGTAGCAACCTTGTACTTGCGTGGCACACACCTGATATACTTATCCGATCGCGTCTTCCACTTTAATCGACTGATCGCCAACGTAATCTTCCCCCTAACAACAACCCCATCTCCAGGACTCGTACCCTTCGTCCGTCATATTCTAACCCGATATCGCATGTCCCATACAGTCCGACCTGATATACAGTTTTGTCTGACCGTCCAATGGACGCGATCCGACCAGTTGTGGGACCGGCGCTGCCAACCGTCAACTGAATCGGATATAACTGGAACGCGATCAGTTTCCCTATCGCAAATTTACGTAGTCACTTTACCACACTAGCATCAGCATGGAATGTAACTTGATTGTCAGCGACGACAGAATTAGCGTCAGCATCAACGACCGTATCAGTGGCAGCAACAGTAGTGGAGGTGGAAGAAGGGATCATCATCATGCATTAGACAACGAAGGCTTTCTAACTGAATTGACGTGGCTATGTTACAGGTTCAATTTATAATTAGCTTGTCTTGTAATATTTTCGAATTGACGTGGCCTGATTGTGATACCACTGTTGTCATATAAACAGAACGTCTGATGGATAGAAGATGGTGCATTGAGCAATAATAATCGGTGTATTTAGTCTTTTCCGGAGTTGCCTCACACTCAGTGCCTTTGATGGAGGGGCAGCTAGCTGGTGGGGGAAGACAAATTTGTCGTGTCCTACTCATCTCCAAATTTCTACACAGGTGCTGAATGCGGGGGACATACCAGCGATAATCGAGCGGTTCTGGTTCACGTTTGACAGGTCAGCAAACCTCTGGATCCGCGATCATATCGGAGACATAATGGCCAGACCCGCATATGACTAGATCGAATTTTCATCATAATACGACTGAGCATCGCACGAACGGGGACTGCTAAAATTGTCATCACGGTACTCAGACCTCACCATGAACTCCGATGCAATGGAGCTGGTACAGCTACTAGCCAGATGTAGGCTTTCTCAGCTAGCAAGGTAGATCTTATAGAGAATACGACTCTACGAGTTTACAAGCTCGGATATTATGGTTTTTGTTCAAGGGACCAAACATTTAGTAAATCAAGAGCTCAGAGTGCTCAAAGTCGACAACTTGGCAAGGCTTGACTA